GGCAAATAAACATAGTATAATGACTAACAATGACAAAATACAATAATACTTGTCTGTAAAATGTAACCCTTCTACAAAAAAGTGACAAAGTTGTCTAGATGACCACATGACCATACTTGTAAGAAATTTCTTTGATAAAAGATTTTAATATGTATAATTACCTCTGTGCTAAAATTAACTAATCTGCGTAGCCATAGTATACGATTGTGTACACAAAAATAATGGGAAAAAAACGAAGAATGAACTTACTTATGAGTGTGCATATTTATTAAATAAAGCACATGAATGCTTACACACATGCGCATACACAACAACAATCGAAAGACTAATAAATTAGACTTGCAAATTAGATAACACAAAGATTAATTGAACTATTTTCAAGTGAAAATGTTTAAATCAAAAAGTAGAGGTTTTCGGAGAACTGTGTTCTCGGACTAACTGATTAGGCAAAAAGTTGAAAGCTACCAAAATCCAAGTATTAAACATGGATGAATAATGGTCTAAATTCATTTGATCTTCATAACTAACGAAATCGTTTGCTTTTAATGGGTACTATAACTAAGCTATGAAATTGAATGAAGCACTGATCACTGGTAGTCGGTTAAAACAGTGAAACCTATTAGGCTCACTGTTATGTGGCTTCCAAGGATTTTACTGATGAAAGCTAATACACGTGGAATCCGTGTCAAGCAAAACTTTTTGCTGATTTTCTTTAGCACAAAAAGAAAAATTGTGAGATTAACAACTTCACCCGAAAATCTGAATTTAATTATTTGGTTGTATTTTCATGCGTTCTTATTTCACTTAAGGTTGTCTAGTCCTACATAGCCCAATGATACTGTATTTCTTTTTTATGATTTGACGGTAACCATTATTTCTAATAAACAAAACACAACCCATTATTATGGATATTAACCTTCTTTTAAATTATGATTATGATAAAAATATGGCTCAGTAATAACAAGAGTTATTTCGTAAAGATATTTATTACTACTCTACTATAGACAGCATAATGAGTATCAAAATTATCTGTCGTTGATGAAAGATTACCATCAACCCTGTGAATTTAAGTCTGAATCAAATCAATGGACTGATGAACAACAGAGAATGCAAACGACTAAGACCTGAAAAAGTTTTCAGCTATTGACGGAAAAACTGTGCGTCGGTGGCACAGAGGTTAGGACTCTCACCGACCATGCACATGGTCCGAGGTTCGATCCCCTGCCGACGCACACCTGATATCTATGGTCGGCCTGCGAAATTCGGGCTACCGATATCCATGCTGAAAATTCCATACTTGTACCAAAAATACAGTGTGGAATCAAGCTGTAATAAAAAAATTAATACTACTACGGGCAACTGACAGTTTTCGTGGTCTTTGGGACCAGCTTTATAACTGGTTATCCTAAGTGCGAGTACTCTGCAATGTTTCCTTCGTCTTGATTTAGAGCAGTGAAATATGGATATTTAAGCGAAAAATGTGGAAAAATTAGCGGTTCTCCACAACGGGTACTTTTGGTAGAGTAATACAACGACTGGAAATGAGGTCAAGTATAGGGTGTTAGGTAAGTTAAGTTATTCGGCGAGGGTGTGAGATATTATTAATTAAAAATGTAAAAAAACATGTTACGTATGCCGACGTGCTGCTTCCCTTTATGAAGGGTTTGGCTGAAGTAGATTTAGAGTGGAAAAGAGATATAGGTGGCACCAGTGTATCTTTGACTGTTGATGTGGGGGACATTTATAGATGGAGACTGCATGGCTGGAGTCCTCGAGTGTTAGGAACCAATAGTTGCAGGCTACTGATGACATGACATATAACTGTCCATGGTGGTGCAGATGTATTCACTTCTTGGCATCTACTAGGTCCTGAAAATCCATACCAATCTTATTCTAACTGCTCATCCTTATATTCATTTTCCTCCATGTCATTATGTTTCTTTTCTCTGCTTTTTTTCCGAAAGAGCAACTAATACACTTTTGTTCCGTGGTTCCACCTTCCGAAAACGTATTCAGAAGATACATTTATAACATATCACCAAACCCTGCTTAACATAAATACTTTTAATGAGCCCTACGGAAATTTCACTTCATAGCTGATCCACTACTAGACTTATTATTTATTATTATATCCTTTAATTCCTAGGGGGACATAGGGCTTCAGCTGCGCATCTCCATTGCCTTCTGTTTTCTGCCAACTACTAGACTTATTCCTGGTTTAGTGGATTGACGTATGGAAGATGACGAATTCAATTTCAGTAGCGGTCGAATGTAGAGATCATGGAATTTGAAGCAGCATAGTAAGAATTAATAAAACCAGCTAAATGGTAGAGATACTGTCCGTGGAGAAAGCACAGAGATAAAAGAATGGAATTAATACTTACAGTAAAAGACTAACTTTTTTAACTGCTACATGTTAAAAAATAAGTAATGGATATCTTCAGTCAAAATTTCTTTTTAAAGTATGACAGATAAATTTTGTTCTCAGATAACTGATTAATTGACATTACATCTTGAGTTTTGCTCCATTTAATTATGAATACGAACGATATCTTTTTAGTTTGTCACTTTTCGTAAACAGGATACAAATAGTTGGAGAAAATAAAGTGATATCAAAACAAACTTTAGAACATCTGAAAATAAGAAGGGTTAAATAAAGACGCGCAAAATAAGACCCAAAGATGAACAGCAGCGTCATGGTTTACTGGACTAAGCATTCGTGTTTCAACACTTGGGTCACAGGTTGAAAACACACATCATCTTCTGTATTTTTGGTAACTAGATAATATCAACAACCCTCACACAACTGTTTTCACTCATTTTCATACCTATCAACATCTATGTAAATGTTAGGTAACATATACGTATACGAAGCAGGGGAAGATAGGAGAATGTAACTTAAAGTCATTAACCACTGAATTTTACGATCGTCAGAAACTTAACTAGTCAACATTATGTTTCGTATGGACAAGAAGGAAATGTAGTCATGTTAATCATTTGCCAACTGGCAATGTTTACCAACACAATTGAATACTTTTGTTCTTATCACTGAACAGATCCTTCAAAACCAGTTCACAATTAGGAACAGATGCCAAAATACACAAAATGTCCACAAATTAAGTGTATGTCGAGCTCTTAAGTCTGAAAAGACTGAATGTTCTAGCTCATATAGATGTTCTTCAAGAATCAAAATTATTATATCACAAGGTAAATGGTAGTAGTGAATCTTGATAAGAGCATTAAAAGTCTAAATCAGTTAGGGTTTTCATTTTTCCTCGTTAATTGAAACAACCGTCCATAAAGGCGTCAATAGCTACCTAAAATAGATTACGAAGTTCTAAGGCGCATAGTTTTAATGCCACTCAATTAACAGAGGTGAATGATACAAAACTCTATAAAGCCAGAATCAATCTTCCTCCTTAACATCAAGCTTTAAACGTAAACACTTTTAAAACCCTAAATAAGCAGCTGAAGCTTATCGATTTAATAGGAACAGTACTAGTTTCAGTAATGTGGTTCATTTACAAGACCCACAACAATGAAAAGCGGATTCCATGTGCGTCGGTGGCACAGTGGTTAGGACTCTCGCCGACCACGCACATGGTCCGGGGTTCGAGCCCACGCCGGCGCACACCTGATATCTATGGTTGGCCTGCAAAATTTGGGCTACCGATATCCATGCTGAAAATTCCATACCTGTACCAAAAATACAGTGTGGAATCAAGCTGTAAATCAAAAATCAAAAAATCAAAAATATAAGTATGGATCAGATACACCCTCAGTTTTCCTTTCCACCAGATCAGAATACTTCAGAGGACATAGTAAGAGAGTTCAAAAGTCAAGTGGAAACTATATTGCTGTGAAGTGCTGGTGTTGCTGCCGAGTCATAAACTCCCAGAAGAAGTGGTGTCTACGCTCTCGACTGACGCATTCAAGAATGAATTACACGAGAATAGATTTTTATTAGAAAATGACTAACACAGGTGTGAAGCCTTCGATATTCAACCAGAAGTCCGAATCCTGATCTAAAAAGCTGACAGACCAGTTATTGAGTCCAGTAATTTAATACACAACACATAAAGCATCCCGATTTTATGGAGTATTATTGAAAGCAAATTTCGGCTTTGTTAGCTATTGTGCTATCGTTAGGAACGCAGAAGGCGAGACCATGACACAATTACTGTGAATTTTAAAGCGGACGTAGAGACTGATAACTTTCACACTTTATAAGACAGGTACATGGATTTCTGAAATCAGTTAGTCATTTTAATATGGATTAACTTATATGATACAATTGCGGCTTGGACAAGCAGCACTACGATTTTGGTGCCAAAATTCAGTTCTAGAAACTACTGGCAAAACTGAAGAGTCTGTAAACTTCACTTGGGATATGCCACCACTCTATGTTTTCATGGATAAGTAAAATAAAGAGTGCATACCGTCCCCGTGGTTATAAAATTAACTGATGCAAGCATTTACTCTGCAAACTGTGTGAATGGAATGAATATTCTTTCGTCCTTGAACATACCACAGATTTTTATGTTTAATTCAAAGATACATAAAAATATAGCTGTAGTCAGAAAACAAAAACGTATGAAAAAACTGCCTAAATAAATGTGCAACGAAAACATAAGTTTTTAATGATACTGCAGTATAAAAGTTGAACATTTCGTTAATTTGCAAAAGAAGTATGAAAGTTTTACGTTTTACGATATGCTTGTCTTAGTTTTTAAAAGGTAAGTGAAAATAAGTGGGCTATATTAGAAAACGACATGGGTAAAGAAGCAAAAGTGGGTAAACAGGGAAAAGTTGGACAATTAAATTTTTCTGGACATGAGCAAACGGTGGAAAATTGGCCAATATGCCTAATGTGGACAAATTATGAAGCATTAATACAATCTTATGCCCACCTATTTGCCGATTAAAATGATATATTTAGCCCACTTTTGCCAACATTACCCGGGTGCATTTTCTGACTGAGGACACTCAGTGTTACTCACCTTTTTGATTGCACATTTCATGCCATCAGCTTTTCTTAGGCCTTGATAAACAACACCGAAACTACCTTCACCAAGCACTGGGCCAACTTCATATTCATTTTCCAGTTGGGATGGCGTGTTCATACGAATATAAACGAAATCACCTTTCTTAGAATTTTTAGTAATTGAAGTCTCATATTTCATATCATCCTCATGTAAACTACTACTTTGCATCAAACTGATTCATGAAAGAATTTCTCAACTTCAAGCATTAAACATTTTTAAGTAGCGCAACCGTTCGAAATGGTTACACATTCCTAAGATCTAATTTTTTACGAGAATAAATGCCGAAAAATGTTAAATAAGGAGCAAATTCAGAGCGGAAACATTTTATTTTGACGTACCCATTTTAACGTGATTACCGAGGAAACCAATGGCGGTATTTCAAATAATGTTTTAGTTTCTGTGTTAAAAAATATAATCTCAATATATAGAGATTTGTCTCAACACACTTTCATTTTGTGAAATTCTTTCAACTAGATTTCTGACTTATTACTTTTATTTGCTCAAAGTTTTATTCATGGAGCCTGCTGAGGGCAACGAGTCAGATAATGCTGAAAAAGATAATGACCACGATAATGGTTCAACTACAAAAGCTCCATTAGAGAATGAATCTTTATTTGAACAGAGGGACACTGACGAAAATTCAGAGCCTAGGAAAAGTCATGAAGTGTCTTCGGCTAAGACTAGACGAAAGAGTAAAAGAGTTTCTTCAACACCTGGTATGTTTTGTTTTGTTTTTACATAATATAATATTTCCTAAACAAAGCGTACTGGTACACTGACAATGATCAACTTCAGTACATCAAGGATTGTAGAGCAAGTGGAACGGTACCATCTAGATACTTTTTACGTCACTTGAAGGATGAGAACCTCAGTCTGAAACATAGTGTTCTGGGACTGAGAAAACTAAAACCTATACTAGCAAGCATTTCTAACAACCTTTGCATAACACATCTGGATCTCACAAATGCTTGTATAAATGACGAGGTAATAAATCTTAAAATTTTTCATAATGCACTGAATTTCTCTTCTATATTTTGTCAACGGTGTCGGTGTACACATGGATATTGTAACCTATATTCAGTGTTCATTCTTATGTGTAGTAGATTCAAATCAAGACGTTCGTTGGCTGACTGTGGAAAGCGTCAAGTCTGTGTTAGTCATTTTCTAATAAAAATCTATTCTCGTGTAATTCATTCTTGAATGCGTCAGTCGAGAGCGTAGACACCACTTCTTCTGGGAGTTTATGACTCGGCAGCAACACCAGCACTTCACAGCAATATAGTTTCCACTTGACTTTTGAACTCTCTTACTATGTCCTCTGAAGTATTCTGACCTGGTGGAAAGGAAAACTGAGGGTGTACCAGGTCAATAATCATTTTTTAGAATTTAAATAAATATATCTTATCTCTCTTTTTATCTAAGGCGAAATAAGAAGAAGAGATCCACCCTATTGAAATTTAGTCCCTTTTGATAGATTACTTACACTAGATATCATCGCTACCATTGCAAGAATGTTATGTCGTGATATACGGTGACATTAAAAAATATCTGCACCTGAACTAAAGGTAGTTATATTCTGTCTGTGGCGTGCGCGTTATTATGGATTTCTTGGTACGCTCAATTGCGCACTGCCCTCCTCTGATGGGTTGCCAACATATCCAGTGCAATATAACAGACTTATAAAATGTTTTTGTATTTTGCTGCCCTCCCTCAACTTCCTTCACAATTTAAGGTCATCCACTTGCATAGGCCCAGAAGACTTGATTAGCCCAGCTAATTCGTTGACACAAAGCGTAAATAAGAGAATAAAGTTAGTACTTATTCGTGCTACCCCTCCACTTATCATAGTTGCGAAATTGTCGTTATTATGTATCATTCACTGATGACTGATTCTTTTTATATAATTAGACAGGCAGTCTCTTTTATCAAAACTTTCAAATTCCATTATCTGTCATGTGGGAGGATCTTTACCACATGCTTTGCTGAAACCTAGGAAAAGTGTAGATGGTTTTCTTGTTTTCCAATGTATTTACCTACCTTTCTCTAGCTTTGTTATTTGTAAGACATGACATTTTTCGCTGAAAGCCACATTGTGATCATAACAACAAGCTTTTGTTTTCAAAACGTGAAATCATATTCTATTAGCTATTCTCTCAGTGTCTTGATAGTTCCACTAACACAGTGCCTAGATCCTCCTTCATGGACAGGGGTTACAGCTGCATTCATACAGACTCAGTTACGCTATATGTCTGAGGGGTAGTCCGAATATAATAGTCAGCGTTTCAGTTGCTCGATCCTTGAAACCTCTCTAGTGAAAGCTGTCAGGTTAAGTGGTTTCTATATGTCTAGTTTGCTTTGAGGCTGGAGTAAAATGTTTTTGTCGATGTCCACACAATTTGTGGAGCAGCCTAGGTTGACGTTATGGTTGCTGATGATTCCTATTCGGAAGTTGAAGGGAAACAGTTTGCCACCTTCAGAGCTTTTTCCTGGTGTTTTAGTTACGTCTCTATCGGACATCCTGTTCTTGAGGTTCGAGTTCGAATGTATTTGTTTGCTCTGTACCAATGTGTTTAGAGCTAGATGCATTTGATATTCAATCCGTGACTGATGAATTCTCGCAGCAGCTTCGATTCTTGCTTTGATGTAGAGCTTTCTGGATTCTGAAGTCCTGAGTGTCATAAACATGTTGCAACAATTGTGTTTAGTCCGTTAATCCCCCGATTTATCCGTGAAGAGAAATGTTTCCAAATCTCGAAGACTGTCCATGTGATTTATAATTGTATTTCTTGGGTATAAAAATACTTCAATTGATTATATGCCGGTTTACAGACTAATCGTGCGGTGCGATGCTATAAATACTGTCATTTATCTAGGATTCCCATAGGCGAGAAAAATCTATGAGTTTGGTCCAAAATACTGCAACATGTGTGACCTTAAATTTGAGTACACGGTTATAATCTCTCCCTATAGATGGGAGATATTGTACGAAGTTCACACTCACCGTAGTATAAGGGTTTAAGAGGAGTCCTGAGTACCATGAAACACTGTTTGCTTGAGGTGTTGGATTTGAGCCAGTAAAATAAAAAAATTACCAGATGATGTATGACGGAATTGTTTAAGAATACAGTCAAAGGATTTTTCCAGTTAACTACTGTGACGTTGAGATTATCCACTACAAGGAGCGAATATTTTGTTGTCCATGAACTTAGTTCCTCCTTGATAAATTTGTCTGCCATGCTATTAGTTCTGTGACATATTGCGATGAAATGTAGGTATTGTTCTTCTCATTTTAGTCTGCAGTGTCGAAGTTCTTGCGACCTACTTTCATGTGCAAGAGTTTCTGTTACTCAAAGGTGGACTTTTCTTGAGGGAAATGACTACTCCGTTGCTCTTGAAATTTATTCTCACTACCCTTGCACGGCAAAGTCTGGTTACTTGATTTCACTGTCGCTAATTTTAGCCATGATTCCGTAATGATTATAGTTGTCGAATTTTTATAGCCATTCACACTACCCAGCTCACTCCATTTGTTAAACAGTCTTTGGGTTTCAGCATAGAAAGGTGTTATTTCAGTCTGGTGTTTCCTCGTTTCGCCCATGAGGGTTTGGCAATTATCGAAATTTTCTAGCGCTGCCATTGTAATTCCATCAACTTCAGCTCAGTAGATTATGTTGTGATGCAGTCTGCATGGATGTCGGTGTCCGGAAAGTTTCATATCACGACGATGTGTAGAGACGGTATAATAAGTACATTCATTTTTTCCTATTTGGAACTGGTCAACAGCATAGACTTACTCTCCAACAAGTGGTGTTATTTTCATTGAGAATCAAAGCCTGAACACATAGCTATATCTATTGGGCAACTGAGCTCGGACTGTGTTAAGCAGTGCTTTATTGATAGAAGAATGTAAATCTCGTCAATATGAAGTCATAACGTGTCCACCAAAGGAGCCTACAAATTCACTCTGTTTTCTGTTCAATAAAAATATAACCCAATATTCAATGGATTGTAACGTATAAGTTTTGTTAGGCCGCCTATATCACACAGAAGTAGTTTACATAATCGATTGTTTCTAGTTAAGTCGATTTCATGGTTTGTCTGGTATTACTGTGTTACGTAAATGTAAACGGCATCCTAGTTTTAGCCAGAAGAATAACCATGTAGACGACTGTTATAGAAAGTGAGAATCATTTCAGTTAAACCATTATCTTGGCATCTACAGTCGCCTATTATCTAGGGCGCGAAACTAGAGTTAACGAATTACTTACTATTCTTTCAGATAATTGAATTCTAACAGTCATAGCAATGGATCAGTAAGTGTGAAATTACACTGGTTAGTGAATGCAAATTTGAAAGCAACTCAGTGTACAGCGAATGTCTACCACTATAGTTTTAGCTTCCTTGGGGAACTTAATAAAGTATCTTGAACATACAATGTTTTATTTGCATTATACATCACTTTCAACGTGCTTTCCAAACAAGACACTTGGCGCATAGGTTTTATTTATTTTCCGAATGCATAATTTCTGCATTCAGTACTGGTTGTTTCACTACATAAGAAAATTTTAATCTTAATCCCATCTTTCCATTATGGATATAAATTATTTTGATAAAGTCACACAGTGTTATTCAGTAATATTTACTGATGACATTTCGAGGACAATTTATTACTCATATATCATATGTTATTGACCGACTTTAGACGAACGACATTATTTACTACACAGTGTTCAATCGAAGTATCCATTATAGTCGTGCTCGTGACTGGCCTAGAAGTAACGTCTCTGACTGTTAAATTAGGGGAGCCTGGTTCGAATCTCATAAGGGAAATAAGTTCCTTCAAGATCGCAGACAGGCCTTGCTAATGAGTGCTAACTAGTACGAAACGTAAATCCAAAGGCTCTGATTGATCGCCTCCAATCATCTAACAACAATAATTTAGTTTAATGACCACGCGTATTAGTGAAATTCACCGAAACTACCCATTGCAGTTCCTCAAATTAATGCTTGTTTATCAAAGTTAACAAGAAGAACAAGAGTAATCAGATTCAGTTTGCTATCTTATACGATGTAAGACTTGAGTCTAGAACACACATTTAGCAATGTTTAAACCAATAAGCTAATTGGGATTTACTCAATGTCCATGCCTACGAGCATGAAAAGCACATATACAAAATCCAGAATGCCTTCTTTTAAATTATTAAAAGGGTTAAATTAGTTGTGAATCATTCTTGTAAAATATCACAAATGTCTAAGCACTGGATGGAGATAAATATTTCATTGAGGAAACCTACAGTTTATAAGCCTAGACAATATGTCTTAATAAGTGCATATTTCATGTTTTATGTTAATGGAAGTATTCGGTTTTTACTATAAAGATAACAACATAAAAAATTTGTTTTTCTAATTGTTTTCTCCTCTGTATACTTCTTTACCAGTCAGTACAATCATAGAGTAATTATTCAGCATTCCCAAGAAAATCACATTAAGAAAAACTAAAGGTAACTTTTAAACCAATAGGTAAATAACTGTATTTTTCAAAATGCTAATGGACAAGAATACTTTATGCATTCACTAACTATGGTTTCATTGCTGCTTCAGGACTGGTGCTGTTTTGAAATAATAGTGTTGTAAAATAAAGTAGACGTTTATGTAAAAGTAGAATTTGGCTACTATTTTAGGATATGATTCCATCTTTTTTTTCCTTCATGTTCCCAGTGGAACATAGGGCTTCAAGCTAGGGGCTTGAAGTTTCTGTAGCAGTGTTTATTTTTTACAGGATGGGGTTGCTAGCCTCATGCCTAACCTTTCCTCTTTACCAGCATTATTTCTGCCTCAGCGAGGTAAAGGAGTGCGCCTGCCGGAGATAGAACCCCGGGCCATGTGCATGGTCGGTGAGCGTCCTAACCGCTCTTAGATTAATTTATTTTCAGTATCACACATTGATTCAATATTAAAAGCTGAATGAATTTTCAAGCATAAATTATTGCTCACTATTACATCAATTTGGTCGCACGTCTCCACAATGTTTCTTGTGTCTATTTTCTCTCTAGTCTGTCCAACTTCCCTTTTTTATTTTTTGCTACTTCAACATCTCCGGTATAGGTGTCACGTCATTTCGAGTGCACACGTACGGTGTTGAATAGATAAACAATGCTTCAATGAGTAACCTCTCTTTTCACCTAAATGTATTACTTTTTAATACTTTCACCTTGTCGCACTTTATTGAGGAAGAGGGAGAAAGAGAAAATATATGAACAATTTGTGGAGACTTGTGACTAAATTGATATGATTGTGAGCAATAATTTGTGCTTGAAAAGTTATCCAGTTGTTAAAACTGCATCACTGTGTGATATTGAAAATAAACTCATCTAACATGGAAAGTAAGCCTTTAACTGAAAACTGATTAATATCCTCAATTTCTTTCCTCGTTAATGTTTTGTAATGTAAAGATGAAATGCTTTGAAGTTTCTAACCTATAATAATTCTCTTTGGCACCTATGATAGCTTAAATTTTAGTTTAGAGTAATGGATGAATTTTAGTATTATACTGTTGCAACAATAAAAGTATCATGGGGATGGTTAGTGATATGAGGGAACTAACATCTAACCAAATAGGTTACATTTGTCGCAACTTATTAGAACTCAAAAAGATCAATCGTGACGCTAATAACAAGTAAACAAACAAATAATGTTCGTGGTTTCATCGCTCCACGACCACTTTCATCCGGGACTTTATTGGTGTCGCACCTCCGACACACGCTTTTTATGTCGGTGGCACAGTGGTTAGGACTCTCGTTGACCATGCACATGGTATGAGGTTCGATCCCCTGCCGACGCACACCTGATATCAATGGTCGGCCTTCAAAATTTGGGCTCCCGATATCCATGCTGAAAATTCCATACTTGTACCGAAAATACGGTGTGGAATCAAGCTGTAAACAAAAATTTAATTAAAATTATATCAATTATCTCATTACCAGGAAAAATAGGAAAAATAAAAGGCTATCTGGTGAACTATGTTTACTGTGCAAATCCTTTGTGAAATAAATTGCATAATGCAATCGCCTCTGATTGATAAGTACTCTAATTATGAAGATTAAAAGAGTCTTTAAAGTTCTGAGAAATACCTTGCTGATATGCATCTGGATGCATTAAATCTTAATTCAGGGTATCATGTGGAGTGAGTACTGTCACAGCTAGATTTAAATCACGCCGCAATGTCGCATCATTTAAACAAAGCTAAAATATTGCACTCCTGATCCATAAGTCTATATAATATCCAAGACGAGATATTTAAAACGGTTACTTTCCACTAGCTTTCTTGCATACATAATTTCCTTATTTATTAATCAGGTGTTCGAAATATGTTAAAAGTTGTATATCATTACTTTGTCCAGTTTGTTTTGTTTTTAGGGTAAAAGTTTGACCGTGTAGAATATTTGAGAATTTCCGCATTGTTGGCCTCACTTAAGTGTGCGGAGCATTTTTGGTTGCGATACTCCATGGATCACCGCAAAAATTTAAACTACATCAACTCTCTTATTCACTATAAATTTTCCTTAATTATTTGTTTGTTAGATTGTTCACCTCCGATTTGGTCTCTTACATTTAATTTTGTTGATGTATATATCATAAATTTTGAATTATTGTACAATTGAATTGTGCTTCACCACTGATCATTGTTTAATGTATCCCTGAGGTTTTCAGTATTAACCTAAGGTGTTTCTATCCACTTTTAGAGAATTTGTTATGGTAGGGAATCAAAGCTCAGTCTGTAAGATTGGAACGAATGAATTTTTAAAAGTTGTTTGACAGTTTCCGTCTTGTTTTACTTCTGTTTTTTTAGTGTGTTAATGATTTATGCCATATGTTCAGAGAGAACACATGTATAACAGACCTTAACTTGTCTGAAAACCAAATCACGTCTAAATCAGCTGAAATTCTCTGTGAAGTGCTTGCATCGGCAACACAACTTTTAAGATTAAATCTACGAAAAAACTTATTTAGTGACACTTCAGGAATATTCTTCTCTGAATTGATTGCAGTAAGTTATCCGATAAATTTTTTTTAAAATTGAGTTTATTACGTTTCCATTCATATTCTATACTGAAGCAAAAGATTACAACTAAAAAAATGTATGTAGTAATCCTGTCTAGAAAGCATTCCTGAAGGAAGTCATCATAATTTATAAACCACGTCATTTACTAGCATGAATCATGCAGTAATTCACGCTATCTTGATATCAATCATGTTGTCAAACAATTTGAAAATTGTCAGTTTATTTTTTTGGTTTCTGAAAGTAACAGGGCGAATTTCACCATACACTATATGCTTTACAAGTAACCAATTGTATTTTAATATCGAAACCACCTATCTTAAGGTTTCATAGAACAGTATTGCTCTTGCATAGAAACCCTGTAGATGCACCATTTCTCATGCTTAATCAGTATATGATGGTTAGTATGGTTTCCTTACTCTAGTAAGGTCTCTCTCTCCATGTATATATATATATATATATATATATATTCACAAATAAATCATTCATTTCAAAATATACACCCAGTAACTCACGGCTTGTTTCGAGAAGTGAATGACTGCTGACTTTTTATTTTACACTGTGCTTCATTTAAGGGATGCAGGACATTGTGAAAAGGTTAAATTTCGATGAAACTCACATAAAAAGCAGATGCCACGATGTAATTATTTGTTACCATATGATAAGATGGAAATCATAGGTCTCTGCTGCATCATTGTAGTAAAAAAGTCAAAAAGCTTACATAGACTGTATCTAAACAGATCCATTCATACATAAACCATTTTGGCTTAAGGGTTTTATTAATACGGTCAAAACAATAATTCAGTTCTCAAAAAGTTATTCGGTGACTGTGAAGTTATAATATAAGAATTTGGGAGTCTAGCTAGACTCATAATAACAGGCTATATACTCATTCGGGAATTGCTTCCAGTCTTTTCTATGAATTTGTTGGTCTGCGATCAAACGGAGCGCCGCAACAACTTATAAGGCTTTAAATATGGTATAATTAGACACAGAGGTTGGATATAGAATCTTTTTTTCATAGAATTAGTAGCTGCAACATATAAGAAGAGTAGAGAAACCATAAGCTTGGATATGTAAAGAACTGTAATGCTAATGAAATAAAATATATGAATTTGTAAAACAATTTAAGGCAGTTCGGAGTGCGTTGCAACTCATGATGACTAATAATGTGTCATTGTGTGTTAATTCAAATAGGCGGATATTAGTATTGCTATTCCCTTGTGTTCTGAGTAGAACATAGGGCTTCAACAATACATCTCCAAATTATCCTTTTTTCTGAGGTCCTCTTTAGCTAGATCAATGATTGCCCATAATCTGTCTCCAGTAATTTTGAATGCTTTCAGCTTGATCCTGAAGATTTTTTGAACTAGATAAGGGTGTCAGTCCACATCTACTCCTCTTCGAAATCTTGTGTCCGCAGGCTGTCTCCACTTTCTTAACATTGAGATGAAATCTATCTGATTTTTGGTGTGTCCATCTGGTGAAACCCAATTTGGCTTATGCTTGTGCACGTTGCCTCCAATCGCCGAATCATTTCAGGTCTACACCTGTCTGAGGATAGCTTTCCTTTCTTATCCACTTTGTCGAGTGTCGCTCCACTCATATTGACTTCTGTTCATTTATTGTCTGGAATTCATTGAACCATTAGGATTTCGATTTCTTCATAAAGGATGTTGTCCATCACTGTTTTCAGTTGTCTATACAAATCTTACTTCTTCTTCTTCTCTTGTTCTGCTTTGTTTGTAGCACTCGGCGTTGCATTGGATAATTGCAACCTTCCTTCCTTCCTTCCTTTTCAGTTGAATCTCACTGTCATGATCCTGTATGACGAGATTGGTTCCCACTGCATTAGGGCTTGGGCTGGTGCCACTGGTGACACAATGATAGCCACTCACTGCTTCAATGTGTCTGTGATTGTCGATGGGTGACGAGACAGGAGTAGATTACTGACTGACCAGTTGATAATTTTGACAGTTCACATCTATTCGATCGGCTCTTGCAGATTCCGAGCATTTCTATGCCATATCTTCTCATTTCTTTGGCTACCTGAGCAGTCTTCCTAGGCGGTCTCGTACATTGTACGCTAATTCTACGTCCTTACTCTTATTGTTGTTTTCACTGAGAGAAGATAATTTGGCTGACTTGTTTCCCGAAGTCTTTCAGCATCTTAAGTCATTTTCTCTCTTTGATTCCACCAAAAAAGTCTGTTTTTATATTTTCCTTGTGCTTTTAGGTTTCTCTCGTGATGTGATTGATTTCCGTGGTAACGTCGCTAGCCTTAAACCCAGCCCTTCTTTTCCTTCCGGACTTGAGATCATCTAGTAAACTAAGCGAAGTTAAATATACGGATATGGCAAGCATAATTAACACTCTGTTTAAATGAAAAATCGCAACTAGTTGCATTACACTGCAGTATTCGTTTAGTTTTAGTCTCTACTACACTGAATATGCTGCTAGTCATAAAATGAGTAAAGATGATCCAGTTCGTGAGACTTTTTATCTAGCAGCCAGTATCACAGATGTATAAAGTATTGTGATATAAAAGGAAATTAAATCTCATTTTTTTCCCTTTCTTATTTTTCAACGTAAATAACGCACACAAAAATTTAGACCTCACTAAATCTTGTTTATATGAATATTTCTTATAACGATTTGGGTGAAATGTCATGTTATTATATTGGACGAGCATTACCTCAAGCAACAACACTTATTGAATTCGATTTAAGTTGGAACAGACTAAAAGGAAGAAAGTTAGATTTTATCGGTAAAGGTCTTGCTGTAAGTTGAATTCATCTGAATAATTAAATTGATTTAATAAATGGTGAAGTATATTATTTATTATGTTATTATGCATTGAAATTTTCTTACAAAAATGAATGTGAATATATCCAGCTAGTATATTAGCTGATATTGTGAATTAAATTGGCTTTCCATGTAAAAGTGATATCATTTAAAGAACTAGTTAGAGATATTTCGTTGAATAATTACTGAGGATTAGTCAATTGACGCGAGTTCTGGTGTCTGAGGGAAAACACTTTCCCCCGAATTCGCCAATACACCCTTCTGATGATTGACAGTAAGCACCAATCCAGGGTGTCGTGCCAATTGTCTCCAGCCAACTGACGACTATTTCATTTTGGATATTTCTCTCATCCTGGTTTCAAAATTTATTATTATTATTATTGTATCCTTTAATTCCTAGAGGAACATAGGGCTTCAGCTGCGCACCTCCATTGCCTTCGGTTTCCTGACAACTTTTTCAAAATATTCAGTACCTATTAAAATCAGCTGTCTGTACAGAAAAAGATTTAAGAAATGTTTGTGTAATAAAAGTAGACTTATATAAGTATGATTAAAGTGGTCTAAATGGATAAGTGAAAGACCTATACAACACCTACTCTGAAAGCCTGTGTAAATGAGAGTGTATAAAACAATACCAAGCTTTCAGTTTGTGGGGATTTTACTAGATACTGGTTCAATCACGAGCTGACATCAGTCAGAGCACTGGACAGCTGTTTCGTCCTGGTTCAGGACTCCTCAGTAGTGCCTGCCCGCCGGGATTCGAGCCCAGATCCTTCCGGTTAAGAGGGGAGTCTGTTGACCATGCATCCACTGGGACCCGATTGATATATATATATATGTGCAGAGGAAGTTACCTGGAACTCTAGTGCGAAGTCATGACTAGCAGGGTCCAACAAGCTAGGTAAGAGAATAGTTACTCCCCGATGGCACTGACTGATGGCTATGCTATGTATCACGGACTGACGGAAGTTAGAATTCATGAGCCATTGAATCGGGTCCCAGTGGCTGCATGGTCAACAGACTCCCCTCTTAACCGGAAGGATCTGGGCTCGAATCCCGGCGGGCAGGCACTGATGAAGAGTCTCGCACGAGGATGAAACGGATGTCAAGTGCTCACTGGTTTCCCAGTGGTCCTCTGACTGATGTCAGCTAATGATCAAAGCTGTAATTCACAAGTGGTTATGAAACTAACTCATAAAGCTCCATGTAGCTGTAGCTTCATGTTGCATAATTTTTGATCGAAGAAACCAAAGCATATTTTCCTATCTTGGTTGGAGGGATGGATTTGCAGGTGATTTTTCAGTTGTGTTGATATCGACTACTGCATTAAATATTGACAACTATTGGTACTAGTAATCCTTCTACTCTTATTATTACTATTATTTCTACTACTAGTTTTAAGTTTACTTTAAATTCAGTTTCTACTAATACCGTTATTATATGCTATGTAGACGAAAACTAATTATGAATCTGACCTTAAAAATATATAAATGATTTTTGGAATCAATAAAATTCACTTATGGTCAATATTCAAAAAATTGTTCTAATCAGTAATTCATTAGGTATCACTAAAACTTTTCACCTGACAACCATGATCAAGTATCAGACATTAACTTCAAGAATACAATTTTACTAGAACACATAAAATACAAGATCTTTATTGTCAACATTTATTCTAAGCGAGGCATTGTATTAATCAACTAACTGAATCTACAGATACACCTAGTAATATTCTCAAATATTTTAGACTGAATATAATCTTAGTTAAACTTCAGCTTGTTAACATTAGTGTAGAGAGTCTTCAGGGTTGATTGAATATCGAAATAAGCCATGTTATGCTCCAATGAAAATAGAATTATAGAAGTTATTTAAGTGAAATGTAGACTCCTAGTTCATTCATTCATTCATTTTTAGATGTTAGGAATTATTTTATTGGACATTCAAGATCAACATGATGTACAGTGGTTTTCTATTTTGTACCGTGGTTGAATAAAAATGCTGAGAGGTCACCTGACAGTTAGGTTCTTCATCATCAACATCAGATATAAATTTTTCATAAATCACAGTTAGTCATGCACTTGATTCTAGTCAGTCGATGTCTTATCCGAATAAAAGTGATGAATGTTTATTCAAAACAAAAATACAAGTTCAGTTATAACAACAACAAAAAATCGAAGCTTTGTATTGTGTTCACTCATCTCTCTTCGTGGTAGTGAGCCCTTATTATTAGCTTGCTGTCTGCTGATGGTGCGATTTGACTTTGTGAATATATATATATATATATATATATATATATATATATATAATGTACGGTGTATTTAAGAGCTAGTTAAGTAAAATAATGTATGTAAGCAGCGTTATTACTAGACATTGTAGAATATTTTATTGGCATAATTTCAACAGAACTTGGGATGCAAATATCCAGTAGACACATATAGAAGATTATATTTATGAAATCCTAAGAAATAAGGAATGTCAACGTTTAAATTGACAACCTGTTCACTTTCGTGGAAAATATGAACTTGTTTACCGAATAAAATGTTGGGAACACTCATTTGATGGTCTTTTAAACTTTACAAATATAACTTTTATCAATTATACTGAATTTTAACTAAACTACATATGTATACTATTTCCAGGAGAATAAAAATCTGAAGTACCTTAATTTATCAGCTAATGGAATTGGGCCGCGTGTTGGGTGTCGTGAACTAGCCTATGCTCTAAGAAATAATCAAACATTGAAAACATTAGATTTAAGGTGGTTAACAACAGTTTCTGTAATATTGAGATTATAATCACTATTAATAAAATATATATATATATATATATATATCTGTAGAGTTTAAATATGAAATTTTAAGACTGCCCTTTTTATAAGCACAAGATGTTCACTCCACAATATGCGGTCTCCCTGATAGTTGTTTTCATTTACCACCAAATTTGTAGACATACAGTTTGTCATTTAAAGGAAAGTGAATCAGCCTCTGAATGAAGTCTTAGGTGTTTCACAAATCCACAGTGTTAATTTTAACTCGACTGAAGTTCCTCTTAACATAACTGCATAGACTTAGTACAATTTGTTCAATAGTTACATCATATATACCTTAAGATATTAGTGACCAAACTCATGTAGTGTTACCACATCTAGCAATTTGTCCTAACACGCCTCTTATGTTACATGCTAGACTCCTTATTTCAAAGTCAACTGAAACATTACCAGGAATACGCTTCATTTTTTAAACTTAGCCTAAAACGTTATTTCCCTCCTATAAATTATCTTCGGCTTATCATTTATGAAATGAATTATCATTGAACATTTAACTATTTACAAAGTTAGGCTGTATAAAGTCACTTACTATAGTTACGACACCATGTCTAAATAAACCGGTAGAGGTGTACGAGTAACAGTAGCAAACAGTTTTGTAGTGAGTTGTGTAATATGATTGCAAATACCAATGGTTTAATATCTAAAACAATGTGTAGACATAAAAGAAGCTAACACTGTCGTCATGGTGTCACTGATTTGCTCTTCATCATTCACATATCTTCACAGATGAAATCCTTCAGTTTCTCCTGGATGGCTATAGTTTTTCTTCCTGGCTTATCAGAGTTTAAGCAGAATAAAGAAATCCAGTGTGTTCCAGCTGATTGTTATTAACATAGAATACTGAACCGTTACGACTCTCTCGCTGACTTTTATATAAAAATTATTGATAATAATTCATGATAAAAATTAATCAGTTGATTTGGTAAATGTAACTTGACTTTATTAAGTGGGGGTTTTTCCAGCTTTCATAGTACTTTTTGGGATGAATTTTAATTATATCTGTCTGTTCAAAAGTTGACATTTAATTGAAGAACATCTACTGGATTATGCCGACTAGACAGTTGTAAAATGTCTAGAATGATAAGCTGTAAACACGTCATGTTGACTTTTCAAATGGTGCTTTACATAAGTACTAGAATGTCATAGAAGTCTCAGTTGATATTAACCTCATCTCATTTTTCGATAACATCTAAATTTTAGCCTTGCATAACTTACTTGACATGACAACTTATTTTTGTTTTCACATAAAAAGTATTGTTTGTGTAATTTTAATATTATCTGTTTTGTAGTGATAACCGAATAACTGCAGAGGGGTCTGTTTTACTGAGCAAAGGATTTTATGTGAATTCAACACTAACTTGTTTAAAAGTAAGCTGAATGACTTCATACATTTATTTATTCCCAGCCATACAGTTAACGGTGTTTTGAGTTATCGTCTCAACTCATGATCATCAAAATTTTTAAGACTAAATGCTAACAAACAAAACGCAACAAATTATCAATATATATATATATATATATATATATATATATATAACTCTTATCAATGGGCCACTAAGTAGTCGAAACTGTAGAGAAATCTAGGTAACATATCTGTCTGTCTGGATTCAACATAGAACTTGGCACCGAAGTGCAGCACTTCGAGTTGCCACGTTCCAAATAGCACACAGAGGTAAACAAGAAGATGAGTGAAGAGAATGAATACAGTCTGACAAGTATAAGAGTGAAACAGAATGGGTAATGGTAGAAAGGAATATGAAAGATTACAGAGACTGAATACATCTGCGCTGACCATTGACAACGATTTTGAGCCATGTCACCTATTGTCTCCAGCCATTGATTCCTAGAGTCCCGAGGGCCCCAACCCGGGAGTCTGCATCTCCCTACCTGACTCAGTTTAACTGTCAAGGATTTCATGGATTGATGCCATGTTTTTGTCTGGCCACCACTTACTCTTTTCCAACCTGCACCTATATCAGCTAGTAATGCCCATCGGGGGAGGCGGTGGTTAGGCATACTCAGCACCTGACCTAGCCATCTTAGTCTATGTAACTTTATAGCCTCGTCGATTGATTTTCCCTCTTTGCCCAACACTCTACACCTAACGTCAACATTACTTACCTTATTAAACCACCTAACGTGAGACAGAGATCGCAGACATCTATGATCGAAAGCAGTCAACCTTTTCATGTCTTCAACGCATAACATAGGTAAAATATGGGAGACAATCGTTGTAAAAAACCTCCTACTTCTAATTATTTTCGTTAAGACTGATGAGTGGAAATATTCAAGGTTTTAATCAAAGCTTAATCATTTATTGAAAGTGACTTAAGATAATTGATGGTAGCGTTCATTATCTTTATATTATTCCTGGTAACTGCGGCGCTGTTTTCTCCAATGAACAAACAACAACTTAAAAAGCCCTAAATGTCTCATTAGAATGACTTATTTGACATAGCTTTGACAACCGGAGTGACATTTCCTCGGAATGGATGCAGATAAGAATTCTTTTGTTTCTTTCCCAGAAGGCATGTGTTTGTAACTACTATTTATTTAAGTTCCACAAGATGAAAAACGAGTGCACTACTGATCTTGATATTTTTTATAGATCACGGAATGTTAATCAGTCTTTTTATATACAGACACATCAACTAATGTTTCATAGATTTTGCTTTCTAGAAATTTCATGTCAAAAATATTATTCGTACATTGTATTGACAAGAAGACTGCAGAGGACCTGAACTTCGCAGATGTTTTATGTCTCATGTAACACATATTCGAAGATCTACACGTGAAGACCGATAAGTTATCAAAGGAAGCCGGGAGCAAGGACGGAACTTCAGGTGAACTTAGATAACCTACGAAGATAACCTACCAGTAACAGTAAGCACCAGTCACCATAAACGAGAGAAATCTAAATTAAGTAGTCTTTTTCACTTACCTCGGCAGCACCGTTTCGACTACAGGTTGCACGGATGTGGATGTCAAAGTCAGGATCGAAAAGGCAAGACAAGTGTTCATTAATCTGAAGTCGGTGTGGAAATCTGTTGCACTCAGCATGAGCGAAAAATTCGGATTTTCAACACTAGTATCATGTCAGTCCTTCTATATGGTTTATAGCATTTCAAAAAGGCTGCAGACCTATATAAGCAGCTGTCTTCGCTCCATGATAAAAACCAGATGGTTGGCCAAAAGAGATTAGCAACAAGGAATCCTGGGAATGAGAACCTACTGTTCACTATATGTGTCGAAAAGAGCGGAGATGGATTGAGCACACGCTTTGTAAACCGTTGGATAACAGCACGCACCAGGCAAGTGCTCGAGTGCAATCTGGGTGGGAAACGACGAGTTGGGCGTCGGTCCGAGGGCGAGATGGAGGAGATCCTGTGAGGATATGACAGACTATATACAAATTTGTTTCGTCATACTGTCAACCTGTGGCGTTGAGAATTATTTCTTATATTTGCTTTCATGTATTGGGAAAAGGGAATGTTTTTGTGAGAGCGGCTAATGCAGGCTAAACAAGCTTTATTTTGTACACTTTTTAGCTGACCTTGACCTAAATTAAGACAGATTCCGATTATCCGTTATTTGTAATACAAATACTAACCCTATGAATTTGTGGAATGTATTCTTTTCTTTTGTTTTTTTACCTGTAATTTTAAAGGAATGCATTGATATTTGCAAAGCAATAAATTTACTTCAACGTTGAGTTTCAGTAACTGAAAAATAAGATTTAACCTTCCAAACGCGGGAAAAAGAAAATGTTCATAATACTTAATTAGAGAGCAGGACGAATATAGAAGTTATTGTTACCATTAGATAATTATTCCCTTGGGTTCTGAGTGGGACATAAGGCTTCAGCAACACATCCCGACTTTCCTCTACTTTCAGCTGGGTCTTCCACTTCCTTCTCGCAAGATCCCCTCCATGTCACCTATGACCACTCACCTGTCGCTTCCCATTTAGATTCCACTAGAGAAATGGCCTGCCTCGTGATGTTATTTGACGGCCTACTCAAAGTAAGCGCGATTCACCTCCATTTCCTCATACATATTTTTTGATCAATCGGCTATTCGTTGGTTTGTTCCCAGACTGAGTTTCTTGTTGCTAATTCTTTGTGGAAATTCGATCTTTAGTATGAAGCCAGTGAAGGCAGCTGTTGATAAAGGTCTGTAACTTGTTGGAAACCCTTTTTGTGAATGCTGGCCAAGTTTCTGACAGATACAGACGAACTGACTGACTTCATATTTGTGTTGGAAATCCGAGTCTTGTTCTTTATGCTGGCTGCGTGCAGAAGATTTCCAAACTGGTTTCAGGCTGATGGAGGCATATCTTGTCTATCCGATTCTGACTGGCCTTGACATCTTCAGCTGCTGTACCTGTATTTGAAACGATGCTTGCTAGATAAAAGAAGGAGGTAACCTCTGTTAATCTCTCCCATTGATGTGATTGGTGCTGGTTGTTGTTGTTGTGGTGGTTCTTTGGTTGTCTTCATCACCTCCATCTTCTCCGTATTCACCTACAGCACTGTCTTCGCTTCCGCCTTCTTCAGTCAGTTTGTTGATTTTCACCTGTAGGTCTTTTAGTTTGTGTGACATTAAGCGTATATCATCTGAGAAATCCAGATCTTCTCGAGTCTTCTCATCGTTGGTCCAGCGTATTCCTATCCTCTAACTCCCCACAGTCTGATGCATAATTCAGTCCACCACAATTAAGAATATCATCGTACGTGATCATAGGCAGTCTTATCTTACTCCTGTATTAACATTGAACGCTTACTGAGTTTCCCGTTGTGGATTATTGTCATATAACCAGCTGTTGAATGAGGTTGATGAAGACTTGGGGTATTGTACGCAGGTGTGTTGAAGTAGTTTCCAAATTATATCTAGGTCAACGCTGCCGAAGGCTCTCTCGAAGACGCTGAAGTTGAGGTGGAGATATGATTGCCATTCTATGATTTGTCCTGTGATGAAAATGTGTAGAGTTGAGATTTGATCGGGACATGATTTGCCTTTCCTGAATCCAGCTTGTTCTGAGTGGGGGGGGGCGCAGTTCTGCATCCAGTACATCTATTATTCCCTCCAGGATGACGAGACATAGTATTTTACTTGGCGTGGTCAAGAGCATTATTCCACACCAGTTTTTGAGGAGAAAGACGTAAGTCGCCCTTCCTGGTAGCATCGCAAGGGAACCAGTCTTTCTTTAAGTCAGTAAGCACCTTTCCTTCCTTCCAAACCTTTTGCAGAATTGTCATGAGCACATCTGCGGCAGTCTCCAGCGCCATTTTCAGTGCCTTGATGGGAATTCCGTTTTGCCTTGCTTCCTTCCCGGCTTGTTTTGAGTAGCTTGATCACACTCCGGATTTCTGCTTTAGTTGGAGGATTGGCGTCCACTGGCAGGCAGTTCTGTGTGTATTGTCAGTGGTGGTATTTCTATGCGAGTTGCAGGTGATAGCCGATTCAGGAGTCCTTTAAAGTGATCAGCCCGTTGTTTGATTTGTTTCTCCCTCTTGGTAATTAGGTTCCCCTGAACATCTTTTATTGGTATCACCTGCCTTGATCTTTTGCCATATGGAGGCCTGGTTATCTCATATAATGTCCTTAGGTCTCTTTTACCAGAGGACTGCCTGTTTTGCTTCAGTCGCCAGTGTGTCGTAGAATTGTCTTTTGTTTTTCCTAGCACTCTTATTTACTGCTTTATTCAGTGCAGTCTACATTGAACTCAGCTTTTCCTTTCGCTGTCCATCTTTGCATTGAGTCATCTTCTCTCTCACCATCCTCTTCTCTTCTATCAGCTTCCAGGTGTCCGTTGAGATACAATCCTTGTCTTGTCTCTTCTTTCTTCCTAGAATCGTCTTACAAGTTTCCTTGAATATCGGCTTCAGAGAAATAGTTCCAAAGGTCTTCCACGCAGGTTTCCTCAGTGATACCACGCAGTGTCTCAGACTTTGCTCTGATGTGATATCTGTAATGAAGGTGTCCCTTGTAGTTTTGTCCTTCAGTTTTTGAGTGGTGAACTTTAATTATGGTCTATCTACAGTTGTTTTGAGGGATTTCGGCTAGATCCTGAAGGTTTCTCGAACTAGATGATGGTCTGAGCCCACATCCGCAGCCCTTCTAGACTTTGTGTCCAGTAGACTGGCCGCCTCTGCGCTTTCTTGAGCAACATTGTGGTGATATCTATCTGGGTTTGTTGTAACTGTCAGGCGAAATCCATGTTGCTTTGTGAGTATCCTTGCACTTGTGCACGTTGCCTCCAATCGCCAAATCATTTCAGGTCTACACCTGTCTGAGGATAGCTTTCCTTTCTTATCCACTTTGTCGAGTGTCTCTCCACTCATACTGACTTCTGTTCATTTATTGTCTGGAATTCATTGAACCATTAGGATTCGATTTCTTCATAAAGGATGTTGTCCATCACTGTTTTCAGTTGTCTATACAAATCTTACTTCTTCTTCTTCTCTTGTTCTGCTTTGTTTGTAGCACTCGGCGTTGCATTGGATAATTGCAACCTTCCTTCCTTCCTTTTCAGTTGAATCTCACTGTCATGATCCTGTATGACGAGATTGGTTCCCACTGCATTAGGGCTTGGGCTGGTGCCACTGGTGACACAATGATAGCCACTCACTGCTTCAATGTGTCTGTGATTGTCGTTGGGTGACGAGACAGGAGTAGATTACTGACTGACCAGTTGATAATTTTGACAGTTCACATCTATTCGATCGGCTCTTGCAGATTCCGAGCATTTCTATGCCATATCTTCTCATTTCTTTGGCTACCTGAGCAGTCTTCCTAGGCGGTCTCGTACATTGTACGCTAATTCTACGTCCTTACTCTTATTGTTGTTTTCACTGAGAGAAGATAATTTGGCTGACTTGTTTCCCGAAGTCTTTCAGCATCTCATGTTTTTTCCTTTCTCTCATTTCAGCAAAGAAGTTTTTTTGTAATTATGCTTTGTATTTCTCAAAGTATCTCTTGTGCGTTGGAGTATTTGTAGCAGTTTAGATGGTTTTGTGGTACATGGTCGCTAGCCTGACGCCCACACTCACTCTTCACCTGAGCTTGGCACCGGTCAGAAAACTAGCGAGCTAGCTAACTAGGCGTGGTTTAATATATAAGTAGCGTCTAATAATTTCACTTTTTAGTATACAATTGGGGAATGGTGGCTAGCAGTGGAATCCAGGATGCGCATTTTGTCCTATTTGGGACTCGTCATCTGGATGTACCTGCATTTCTCAGGTACATTCAGATGATGAGTCCCAAATAGGACGAAATGCGCATCCTGGATTCCCCTGCTAGCCACCATACACCAATTGTATACTAATTAAATGCCCAGACATCGTCGAAGCATCTGCACAAGAAACCGACATGTCAACCTGAGACCGAGCACTTCGGTCCAATCAATCGACGGGAAAATCAAAAATTCAATTCAATAATTTCACTTTTTGTTTCTTATATCACTGATTCGTTAATTCTCGCTAGTTTGAAAGTCACCAATACAGATCATGTCTTTATACACATCAATAATGAAGTTTCGAATAATACTCCGAAATAAATCACTCAATATTGATTAATAAATGAAATTTATGCTCCTTTATCATACTTTTCTGAGTTCATGGATTCATAAACTATTTTATTCTTCGATCATATTAACAGTTTGCAAATAAACAGTTGGAGGTAATCACTTCTATTGATCCAGCAAGTGACTGGTATCCAACTACTTATATCAGTCAGCAGTATACACCATCATGCAGTCTTTCTACTTTTTTATTGAAACTCTGAGTTTCCCGTTGGTTAGTTTTACTAAATTAAAATTGTTAGTCTCTGTTAGCATATGGGCCTTTCGGTGATACTCTGAAGTTACTCTGCTGTTATTTGGTTGGTGGTGACTAGCAGCAGCGGAGTATGGTAGATCCTGAAATTAAGTTTTAGTGGTCGATTTATGAACTGTTGGTACATTCAGGTCGCGTAATCTCAGTAGGCTGGAACAAATTTCCTGAATTTCATAACCACTCCCCTTAAACCGAACAACACTACGTACCTTACATAGGGAAAGAAACCGAGATAGAATAAATCAGCAGAGCATATGAGGTTTAATTTGCAACACCATTCATTAACACAAAATGAGGAGCACAAGAGAAAATGAAAGGTATCTACACAGAAAGGAAAATTAAGTCAGTGAGGGATTGAAAAAGTCTCACAGTGTTATACAGTAATGTTTACTGATGACGTTTCGTGCACAATTTATTGCTCATAATCATATCAAGGTGAGGGATTGATTTAAGTATTTGGAAAATGAAATAAGTGTAGTTGCTTCATCATAATCTACTTTTGTTCATATCAATCAGGGTTATCAACCACTGACATTTTTCACCTCTTTAGATTCATTCACGTGCCTTACGCGTCCTTAGACTACTGAGATTAGTAGTCAGTGACTTTATTACTTGTCACCTATGTGGTTTTTTTCGCTTTGCGAAGTTTGTTTTCCAGACATCCTCTAAAATATTAGCCAAATTTTGACTAGCCTGTTGGGAAAGAGTGCGATTCGGATTGCGTATATAAGGACACAGAAATGTTAGCCCTTGTCTTTAAGTCTTATACCAATATTTTTTTAAATATTTATGGCAAAATTTTTACAGTGACCGTAAAACTCCATTTCACGATTGCGTTTATTTTGACTTATGTCATCTCAAACATAGAAGTTTTCTCAAGTTACATCAGTCAGTCTATAATAGTCAGGAATTTCTACTCAGAATCTTTATAGTTTATATTTTCATTTCAAATCTTTTCTAGATGGCACGTAATCCAATGCAAACTGCTGGTTGTTTTGCTATTTTAACAGGAATCTTGAGGAATCCAAACTGTGGCCTATTAGAACTTGACTTACAGGTAAATGTCCCTTTCTTTCTCCTGAAATAATTGTTTCGTTAACTTTATGTTAGCTCTGAGTTATTGTGCTTTTTTTAACACAAATCCTGATGTGTAAACTTTGTCTTCAAGGTGGTTTTCGTTTGACCACGGTACATAGTGATATAAAAGACTTCAAATATTAGTTAAAGAATAAAATTTTTGTAACACTGTTTAATTCAAAGTGCAATTTTCGTTAAGAAATAGGAGATTGAAACAAGTTATTCAGAGAAGACACTATTTTCAACGTATTTATTACTGAGCTGCATAGCCATATATATATATATATATAATGAATTTTGTAAAATAATGATTCGAATTGTGACATAATATTGGTGGTTATAACCACAGTTAAAGATCAAGTGAAAAAATAGGCCAGGCACTTAACAAAATGTTTCATTGAAAGTATAAATCTTAGAACCGATATGTAGAATTAATCAGATTAGTAGGCAATTAAAACATTATGCACCAAAGTGCAGAATTATGATAAGACAACAACGAATTAAATAAATAAAGATGACAAGTGAGGTAATACTGGAAATTGTTCAAAGTGAAAATAATAATAAAAATAGAAATAATAACTGATGGATATACAGATTGTATAAACAAAACCAAAAATAAATAGGACCAAGGAAGAGATGGAGATTTTAAAATAAATTCATCCATATATGAGCACGTAAGTCAGCAAAGAGATAAGTTTTCAGAACTTCACTTCAAAGCTACACAGCTTTCTATGGGTTTATAAACACAATGTTAATTTTAAAATACGTAGATTGTGTTCGCTTGTCAGTCACGACAGTGACGTACTCACTAGTCGTTTGACGTTCATTAATGGATAAATCTAATAAAACGGTGGATCTTTGTGAAATATTCCCCTGTAATTTAGGGATACTTGACAACGAAGGTCAGATGTTATTCTCAATTAACTAATAAAATAAGTTCATAAAAGATGACATTGTTTGAAAAATAGCGAATAATCTTATGTAGTCGGGAAATTTGACAATTAATTAGTTAAGTGATGAATAATCAATTGGAAATAATTGACAGGATAAATGGAAACAAAGGACTGAATTACAAAAGACCAAAATATCACTACACGGAGTTTATTATGTAACAAATCAGGAAAATAAAAATGACACTAAGACTATGATAGTAAAATAGGTTGAATAAAAGGTTTCTGGACACAAAGTTCAGTTTTCTCCTAACGGATTGTTACAGCTCTGGTTGGATGAAATCCTTTTGAACGGATTCATCTTACCTAATATATGTCTCTGAATGAAGTGTGTTCTGACTCTGCGTGACAAGAAGCAATGATGTTCTCTAGAATAAAGCTACTGACTGTTGTTTGCTTTCAATGACCATGCTAGTAGGTGTTTATTAGAGCGTCTAGACAATGTCTTGTTTGATATAATTATGAGCAATAATTTGTGCACCAAACGTCATAAATTAATATTACTGTGAAACACTGTGTGACTTATCAAAATAAAATCTTATCCATAATGTAGTTATACTCTACCACAGTGCCCAAGTTTTATACTTATATGTCTTGCTCGTAAATCGTATGTACTTAATTCTATATGTGAAATAGAACTGGTATATACATATAAAAATAGTCAACAGAGTGAACTTGTCTTTGACATTTTAGTGATGAAGGGTATGTATGGAAAGGGTAAGGCGTAGAGATGCTGCAAAGAACTTGCTTCAAATTACTTTCCACAAACGACTTCACAGAACGTCACTAAGTGTATCTTCCGTGAAATCCAGACTTGCAATTGTCTGTTTCTTCTGCACATGCAGGTTTCACCGAGCATCGATCTCTGTCTCTTTGTCTAAATGTTAATTGATGAAAAAGGTTGGCTATGCATTGTTGATTGGAGGCTTTCTGTAGAATTTCAATTTGTATTTTGCCACTACTGCATGATGTGTAGTCATTGAATCATCCCAGATAAACATATTCACTTTATGGAAATCTTTCATCATCAGTTAACATTAAATTAATATGTCAAAGAAGTCAGTTTTATTCAAAAGAAAAATTATGTTGCTTCAGGAAAAACTAAATAGAAAAATAAATAACAACTTCAGTCTTTTATGTTCAAAGCTTTTTTTACTTATCATGAATTTAGTTGAGGTGTATTCATTTTTCGAATCTCCATTATATAACCTCTTATATAGAGATGAACCATGTTTGATGGGTATGTGAAGTAGAAAATATATATTAATAAAGAAAAAATCCCCATTTAGACATTTAGAAAACAGAAAGATTGAGCGAAGAAATATTTACTTTTCAATTAGATCCTCATCTCTGGCTCTACTCTAATATATATAGACAGCATTTTAATTACAATACAACAGTTTGCCAATCAAGTGGCGATAAGTTTGTTAACAATAATTAAACTGTGTCAAAATGTTAATGGGTTAATAGTTAACGAAGAAAATCAATACAGATTTAAAAGGTGGAAATGGATAGAATAAATTAATTTTACAAGAATAACACGTAAATTAAAGATGGAATGGTCAAAATAAATAAAATATAAATTTACATGTATCTGCGGGAGCAGTTACATTGGAAGGACAGAAAGAAGGGCATATCTACGATTTTCTGAACATGTAGCAAAAAGCTTACGTCTAAAGGGAACAAATGCTTTAAACACTACCATCGCCAGGCATCTCCTCGACACGGGTCATGAGGTGGACGTCGAAAAGTCGTTCAAAATTATCAATAGGCAAAAGAGCTCAATTCTCCTTAAGTTTACTGAAGCCATGAAGAAAATAAAAGACGGATTCAGCGAAGAAAATTTTCTTTATCGACGAAATCATCTTCAGAGGCTGTACAGTCGTATTTATACTTAGAAGAATGTATGACTCAATGTAATGACTCAATGGGTATTTTCCGTGATTTACTGAAGCCATTTCCATCAAGCGCCTGAAACCTGATTTATGAGTCCAGAAAGAAGCGGTTATCAGTCTTTCTTTGCCCTGGTAACCGGATAATTTCACCTCTCTTTCTTCCGAATGCGAAATGCTAAAAGTTTCCATTGTGTATGATTATGATTGTTCAGAAATGATAATGCAACTGGCATCACACAAGCTTTAAAAATCAAGATGAACTATTTAGAAGTATCTCTTGTTAAAAAAAAAATTAAAAGCAGATATCAGACAGTAGCTTTGATATAACTTAGCAGCTTAGAACGTTTACAGGTCCCAGTATAACTTGAAAGAAGTAGGTTTATTGAAAACCTTCAGCTGAAGATTAAAGCAAACCAACATATCCTAAATCTTACCGTCAGAAGCTGGTAAAGTCTAACTAACATTTTATTTACATATTGCCACTGTATCTGCACCCTGATCACGTACTATATATTTCCAAAAGCTTCCATGTCGTATTACTTATAATTGGATTTATACAACTGGATTTTGAGCTGAACAGCAATAACCATTTGATACTACACTAATGAGTAATTATGCCCATCTGCCTCATTTAATTTTATTGACAGGACATTGTAGTGAATCAAGACTTCCTTGATTTACAAGATTCAGCGCGTATAAAACTTCCTAATTTATGTGTAAGATATGGTCAAACATCGAATGATAAAATTAGAGCTTTATCACCACGATTCAAAAGACCAGAACAAAGTCCAAAAGAAATTTTAATCACTATGGGACGCTGTACAAAGCAAAGTCTTGCAGATTTATTACGTCCTCTAGATACTGTTGGAGATAAAATTGTCACTCGTCAGGCATTTGTCAAAATTTTAAATGTAAGTTCAGTTTATATCGCATAAGATTTAACGTGTTTATTCTATGGTTTATGTCCAAAGTTAAAATCGAGTTAATAATTGTTTAAACTCAAGAAGAAGTGAACAACCAACAACACACCACATTTTCTTAATTATATAACCGTTACGTGTTATTCATCTTTTCAAAATTCACATTAATGAGGAAATCATGCACTAACCTTGTCTTGAAATCAGTTGGAAGCAGATAAAAGATTGCAGCATAAAATATAAATTCTAGTAAACATTTGACAGTAAGGAGTTCAGTTACCTATCCGAGTGCGGATTTATTGCTTGTTGGTTTTAAACGTACACTACATCTCTGAAACATCGCAGTTGAAATCAGAATCAAGTAGTATTTAAAATTTTCGACTATAAGTGTTGTCAAATATCCAGGTCTAACTACACTGGACTTAACACTGTCCTTAGAAGACTTCAGCGACAATGTGAATTAACCAACGCGAAAAACCAGAACACAGATTGGTGACTCAAGAACCCTTTATTCTTGCACCAATATAGAACCAACCATAAGGTTATTGTACACAAAGTCTAAGAATAAATGTCATAACAATAAATCACAATAATACTTCTGATAGTATTTCTCCGTCTTCTAACAAACAGCGAACGATGACTGCAGTATCGGTGACTCTCGCCAAATATGGAGTTCGGTTTGAGCAAACAACCATGAATTGATCGTTCATTCTCCAACTACATTGACATGTGTCTTCTTCTTGTATCGAAGCGGATAAGTCAGAGATATTGAATTTAAATGCATCATTAGGTTAGGAAGTGCGTCGGTGGCACAGAGGTAGAATGCTCGCCAACAACGCAGGTGGTCCGGGATTCCAGCCCCGGCCGACGTACTCCTGTGCCTCGCTAAGCCAGTAATAAGACTGGTAAAGAAGTAAGGTTGGGCATGAGGCTAGCAACCCCATCCTGTAAAAACAAACACCACTGCTACCGAAACCTCAGCATCTAGCTTGAAGCCCTATGTCCCACTGGGAACGTAAAGGAATAATAAAAAAATTAGGTTAAAGCGACAAGTGGGTGGATGGGATTGTAGGCTTTTACTAATTGAGATGTTTGAGAATACATATTTCTCATGATGAAGCATCACCTTCTTTGGTGAACAGTGTGCGGAATATGCAAACTGATTAGCGAGGATCTTCAGAATGTAAAGAATCATTCTTTAAAGACTATTAATAATCTACCTCGTATTACTCAATTGGTGAGGATGTTTTCACTCTTCATGATATTTAAGTACTCAAACTAACCTTGATTTAAGTATGCTCTATTTTTGAACATTCATTTTAATACCATTTTATAACTTCACATTTCCTTGTCTCAAGCAGATTCAAAAAAGTGGCTGAGCACTTTGACGACTTTGAAATAATAGAGATTTATAAAAATCGAAATAACCCCAGATGTATGCATATGAAATTTAAGTGTACCATTTACTCAGGTTATTTCGTTTACCGATTTATTAAGGCAACAGTATTAATTATCTTCATATAATGATAATATTAAATCATCAATAACATAATTATTTTCAAGCAGTTTTTAAGCTCTTTTGAAGATATTACCTAGCTTAAAAATGCAAAATCTCATTTTATTTTCCTTTTTGATTATTACAGATGTATATGGCGGTGAGTTATAAGAAGTTTTTCTGATATTCGTGATATTTATTGAAGCATTTCACTGTTCATTAACTCAGTCTTATTTTCGCCTCGATATGTTAGTATTACGTACAGCAAATTTGATTAGTCTGTGCTTATACCAGTGTGTATGTTATTTCATTACACAAATAGAAACTTTGTACGTTTAAAATAAGCGTAAACTAAGTAACGGAACATTTTAATGTTACTCAATATGAGTGTAACAGAGACTAAAGGTAAATACACCTCTTGTACAACTTATCAAGTCGTATAATTCAGTAGAATATTAAAAAAGTCATTGACCTGGCGCAAACTTTAATATTCCACCAACATTACTGAACCCGAAGGATGCTGAATTACTAAGAACAATCGTTATTAAGAGTTTCTCTAGGATGGATGTAATTCAGGTTATAGGGAAACTTGATTTACAATAGCACTCAATTCAGATATATTTAAAATATTATCATATCATATAGAAGTTACTACCGTTTATTTTAAATTGTTGTAAACATTGCAACATCAATTTTCAATCGATATCTCCTATAAAACGTAGTACCAACGTGTCGGCAAAACACACCAGTCGTTGTTAACGGAATAGCTATTCGCAATTTGATGTACACATAGGCAATTATGTATAACATATTAAATCGCCATTGGCACAGATCTTCGATGTTGTGTTACTCTTGTCCTTCGTGTTGTGGTCCCTTCTCTTTTTTTCGTTACTCCCATGTTTTGTGGCAATATTGGTTCATTTGACGTCAAATCTATCTCTCCGCTATTTGATATTTTTGTGTCGATGACAGTTTCTTCATATGCTACTGATAAATCTTGTCAGTAGCACCCTCCACACCAATGTTCAACACTATCCACGCATTATTTCGTTTTTATCATTAACCTCATAATATATTGTCAGCATTCTTCAATTCAAACAAATAAACATAGTAATAAAAGATATCTTCATGTTATAAGTATTTTAAAAATGGAAATTCTACCCTTGTAAGAAAAATAGATAACTCATTGTAAAAACCTGTTGAACAGTGTGTATTTCACTTCTTATTTGGCAGAATTTATTGATGTAGGCCTGAATTAACTTAGTATCTTTTATTGCGTAGAAGGTATACTTTCTGTGTAATAGACGAAACTGCGAAATCTTTACACAAGTTACGCAAAAAGTATCTATAGATAACAAATAAGGGCGAAACTCAATACATTTCAAGAGTATTCATCTTGCTAATCAATAGATGGTAAACTTCTTCATATGACGCTTTCTAAACCTATCTGAAGTTACGATTGGCGGAAAGAAAGTGTGACTCAATGGAAGAAAGAAGACGTTTCGATACCTAACTTGTTAGCATAATGAATAAAATAATATTTGTATTTTATCGATATAATTTTTCAAACGTAAAACACTAACATTACTACTTTAAAAACACCTATATTCTCTTCAAAATATATTTACCTATAGAAACTTGGAATACAGTTTACTGAGGAGCAAATGAAGCAATTAATGCTAGAACTAGATCCAAATAATCAGCAAGAGATTGGTTTTGCGTAAGTAAATTATTGTTTGAAGTGTGGTGAGAATTTGAAGAGTGAAAACGTAAACTTCAGTCGTTTTTACATAAGAAAATGATGTGTAGCAGTGTATTGTGTGCTATACAGCGAACCTGTAAGCACTTAGTTCTATACTTCATAGAATAAAAAGGAGGATTCTGTACAATCGGCGCTGAGTTGTTTGGTGCTGTCTCCGACCTCATAAGAGTTGCGATAGTAACAAAATGCAATTATCCATTTCATTTTAGCTACGATTCAAGCCGGCTAAAGTAGAGTCGTGTAGGAAGTTGTAGGGCATTCTTCATAATATATTTTTAATACACCAGCTCTGTTCGGTCGGTCGCATGTAAACTTCACCACTGAATATCCAATGACTACTAGACTAAATTACGTTTAACGACTTTAAGGTTAATATCATGACACATCTTGAGCCTGAGAGGTAGTAAGCCTACTCTACACCGATTATCCACTTACAACAAAGTAAGTTGCTTAACTTTGTAGAATACATCTCTTTGTGTTAAATCGTAGAATAACGAGGACTAAGCAAACTGATTATCAGCCATTTAGTGACTCCGTATACCCTTATCAAATTTGGCATATTTAATTATGTTGTGCGCTATCAAATAAAATGAATCACACACACTACCAAATAAAAGTAAATTAGACCCTTTTCATAACATTTATCCCAATGCTTTATGTCGATTCCCTTCAGGAGAAGTACATGACACTGAATGTGTTTGTTACTGTAACGAACGAACCAATTAAATTTATGCAATTCAGTAACTAAAGCTCTAGATAATTTCTGGTAAATACAAACTAGCACTGTAACTTAGCAACCACGCACCAGTTCATTCCGTAAGTGACTAAAGAGATTTGTCGAAATATAAAAGCGTGAAGTGATGAAAATTGATAGGAGGCGACTGAAACTGCAAAAACATTCTAAGTCGGTGGCTGCAGAGGTAAAGTGTTTATCTCTTAAATCTGGATTAAGTTTACTTTCAGGACATGAAATAACACCATTGGGCAACTTGTTTAACCTTGGGCCAGTCGCCAACCAATCCGAACGATTAAAGTCCTCTGACAGCCGAACTTTCATTTGGCTAAGACTGTATAAATATGACGTGTTTTCCCATGGCAAAGGTCCTTTAACAAGTCTCTTATATTCGCACATCACAGTAAAACTACTTGAATGCCTAAACGTTTACAGCAACAGTAAAATTTCTTATCACGAAATACCGCTCACAAAGAAATTAACCTAGTGAGACAGCAAATAATACAATCTACTTATTATAATGTTAAAAAAAGAACTAAATATACCTTTGAAGGTATAGACTGTTCAGTTAGTTATAATTATTTAATTACAAGACGTGATGATTAGTAAGCGATATTTAGCAGAAGTACTTGCAATAACATTTCAATATGTTATTTTCCTGATTTTAGAGATTTCGAAATATGAAAATATTTTTGTGGAATTCTAAATGAACTTTTCTTTCCATAAATTTTCTCAATTTGAAAATACGAATGAGACATTGGAGTGTTGGTTTAGTTTTATTATTTTTTTTAAAGATGAATTTCCCTGATTTGAGAAAATAAAAAAGAAGCTCGTTAAAAATAAAACATTTTTTTATTAATCGACTGCTATACTGTATTATTAACAATAACCAAAAGAAAAAAAATTAATATTTCACTAAACCTCTCAGTGGGCATTTACCTAGGAACACGCTAGAATACATAAATTACATATTTATACTGAGATGTATCAGTAGTGCAACGAAACTTGAGTCGTTACATTAAATGTGTATGCGTATATCGATAAAAACAGAAAGGTAAATAGCTAGGTAGGTAGTTGATTTGAATTGAGCGTTCACTGTACATTCTTCATCAATTTTACAGTAGTTATAATATTATGTGTATCAGGATATGAAGCACGCTCTAGATTTTGAGCATAGGGCATTGGAACATCAGCCCCTGTAACGCGTAAGACGGGAGCATCCAGATAATTGAAAGTATCCGCTGTAAAAAGAAAAAATGTATATATATATATATATATACCCTATCCAAGTAGTATCAGTAAACCTTAAAAAATAGGTGAGGCTCAATGCCAGCTGCATGGACAATAGTGACCTTTAAGTAAAACACTCTCCATCGTGTAAAATTTGTATGTAAGGGTCAATGACCAGTAAGACGAATATTTTTTTTAATTTTCACTGAGTGTTTACGAAAATACAACTTTTGCAGAGTTTATATAGAAAATTCCCTATTAGATGCACCTATTAACATACATATTGGTAAGTTTAATATGCATCACAATGAAAAATGAACATCAGCTATCCCATGATTATACAGGTTAAATATGTGATCAAATGCCAGCAACCTCTAGTGATGCTTAAGATGCAGATGTAAACCAGTCAGCGACCACTACGTTTAAGCATGATTTCAAATCTCTGTTAATCTACAGTAACAGTCAGTTTACAACTAACGCGATAGACCATGGGTATAGAGGTGTATCAGTGACTATCTATTCGAAGGAAACACTATCTCTAGAGTTCGATAATTACATTAACATAGTTCAACATGCTGAATGTATTATTGTTACGCATGAGGAAAAATGTAACTGAAGATAATCAAATTGTTACATTTAAATAATTATTGAGATTTAAAAACAAGCTTCCGTGATGAACTTACTTTCCATAACTCGAGCGCATATTTCAGCTCCAATGCCACATGTAGGCCAACCATTTTCTACAGTGACCAGATAATGAGTTTTCTTAACAGAGTTAAATATTGCTTCCTCATCCATGGGACGTAAAGAACGTAAATTAATTACCTAAAAATAAAGATAGTTAATAAAGCCTGTTATTACCACTGATGTTATTGTATAACTACCGCTAAAAAGCTTAAAACACCTGACTTATAACTTTTAATAACACCGTTTTTTCAGACTGACAACCTATCTCTTTTGTGCATTTTGGAAGGATTAGCTTGCCTACAACAGTAAAGTGAAATAGCCGATTCTAAATAGAGCGCAACACTACTTTATGAAGGTATTTTAGCCGTAGTAAAATTCATCAAGAAGGTGAGTATGTCAACGTAAATAAAAAACAATAAAATTTAATATTCATTAATTCAAATAAACATCACATCTGTTGCAGAGCAAAGGAAATGTCCAGAGTCGTAAATGGGTAGGTTTGTGAATGAAATAGCATATCATCCGTAAGACAGTAGAATACTTTGTGTAGAACTGAAAAATTATGACTTATTCACCACTGTAATAACATCATTATAATGAAACGAATACTACATTTAAAACAAAACTTAGGTCTCATAGTAAATGAAAGGTTGAAATACCCCAAAAACCCTTTCATAGAGTGAATCATAGTGAATTCATAACATCTGTATCCATACAGAAGGGAACCCTCAGAACGTTGTGCACTGGGCTATAGGTTTAGTTTAATATGTGATAATATTTAGTTACCCGGGAAGAAGTAGGGGTTCGATGCTAGAATCCATCAGTCAGAAGTTGACCAGTTAAGGTTATACGTCCCACCATCCCACGGTTGTAAGTAATCCTGAATCCAATACTAAAGCTAAGGTTACAATGTTTAGACAAACGCACGAGACATTAAGGACAAGAAATGTGGCCTCGTAACCACTCACAACCTACTACACCAGGCTAAAAAAAGGCATCTCTTGAGTGGATAGGTGGAGAAGGGTCCAGACCGACAGATTTATAAGACTTGCTGCTCTATCCAGAATTTAATAGTGAACTCAGTGTTGAAGTCATCACTACATAACATGAAGGTTCAGAATTCAATGCTTAAGGTTACGAAAATAAGGTGAAACACCAGTATCACTGACCCGTGACTTTTAATCTTACTCTGACTGATGCCGGTTCTTGATGAAAACTATTCTGAAATAATGAATCAGCCAAACTGGCAACAAATTCATCTACTTCTGCTTATTATTTTATGTACTTTTCCCTTATTACTTCGATTATTATTATTATTATCATTATTATTATTATTACGACTCTCATTCTGAATCTTTTCCACTTGATCTACTTGACATTTTAAACCAAAAATTATTCATGTGTATACTTTTTATCTTTATTTTTACAATATTAAATTCTATGTTATCAAATTTCACACCATATTACGTAACATTTTACATTCGTCTATTAATCTTACAATTATATGCCTCTCCCCAAAATCTATACACCCGATGTATTATCTTATATATGACATTAATTACTGTTCCACTTGACTTAAACTATGAACCTAATCACAAATATTTAAAATTTATTTCATACTATTATTATTTCATGTATTTACACCTTTGACCTAATTCCCTCACCGGATATAATTTCTTTATAAAACCATATATATACGATTGTACAGCTTGATAAATATTACTTATTATCTTCAGCAAATGGTACTTCACCTTTATCAGATAATTAGCAATCTCTGACTTCGTTTAGATATTTTAACACAACTACTGGGTGTATGGAGAATAATATTACTAAAAATAATCAGAGAATAATAAATAATGATCTTTTAGAATCCGTAAAAAGGAGGTCAAAGAATTAACAAAAGCTCTATTTAAACACAGACTGATGTTTAAAAATGATTAATCACACTTTGAACATACCTCAGCACTAATACCCAGTTTTGCCAGTTCTTCCGCGGCAGCCAAGCATGTACCCACGCCCAGACTGTAACTAACAAGAGTAACGTCCTTGCCTAAAATCAAAATGTGAAGGACAAAAAATCATTTTGGTTTTGAGGATTTGCTTGATCTTAAGATTTTTGACAAAATCTATCAAAAGAATGCAGTGTATTTGACATAAAAATTAATGGCATGCAGCTTAACAACCAATTGCTATTTGCAATGAGTCATGTCTACTGTATAACGACATGGTAGGATAAGATGCAAATCCTTAGAGGTGTGCTCGAAAACCAAGTAAATAAAACGACCCTAAGCTCCATGAAATTTTGAAATTACAAAAGCCAATAACATCCTAGGACGAAACAGCTGTCAAGTACTCCCAGTTGGTTTTCCAATGCTTCTCTAACTAATGTCAGCTCATGATGAAATCCTGAAACCAATCAAATCCCTACAAACCAACACTTGAACATCCTATATTTTTACTGTACTTAAAAGGTTTAATACGTTTAAATTCACACGAGCAACAAAGCTACCCCACTGACCGAACAAAGATGAAAATACCAACTTAGCGAAACAATGATCATGAGAAGAACAATAGCCTTATTTAGTTTGGGAAAATAGAAAAGGCGAATTTTCATCCAACATAAAACCATTACAGACTGTAAGACTATTCATCGTTTTAAAATTTCTTATTCATTACCAAGATAAGAAAACTTAAACAAAACAGGAAGCACGCACAGGAATGGAAAAACAGGATACGAATGGAACGAGACGATTAGGCAATAATATGATGAAATAGAAAACTTTATTAGTAACAATAATTCTCACACTGAAATCGAAAACAACTCCACCGTAGAAATTTCTACTCAGTCAATATATTTTTAAACTGCACCTTGGTATATGTTATTTGTGAGATATCAGCAAAAACTTTTGTAACTACAATTAAGTTAAGATTTGGTGAAAATTCGAGTCATGACTCAAACAGTAGAGTACGAGGTTGATAACTTTAAGACGGCTATCCAAGTTTTTATTCTAACTTTAATTATCCTTTTACCAATTTAAATCAGTATTGATAAATGGAGAGGTAAAAGTTGAAATATGACAAAAGCAGCTAGATAAGATATAGAATCGTTTATCAGACAGCATTGAAAGCAAATAAAATTTTGTTACAAAAGAGTAAGAAGGCTATGATAAAATTTTCTTCTCTGAAAAAAGTCAAATAATATCGGCAATTATTCATGATAAATGCTGGAATTATATGATAAACTATTTAGAGTAAATTCAAAATCTTTGATGATACAATAAATGGTTCATTCATCTTGGTAGTTTAGCAATGATAAGTAATAAAAACTAAATACCTTAACGATTACTTTAATGTAAGTGGACTACATTAAATCACTACGAAAAACTTCCAACAACAATAATAACTACAAGGTGAAGTTATTTTAAATTAAACCAGGTGAAACACATGTTTTAGAGTTGATGAAACAGTGAGGTTAACAAAAAACTCGGAATTTTATATCATACAGTTATGGCTTAAATAATGACCTACTGCAGGCTAATTCTTTAATCTTAAATCAATAGACACAGTTATGAATAAAGTTAAGAAATCCACAGCGGACCTTATACGCCGAATGAAGCCGTTTCTAGGTGAGTCTAAGTGGTTGAATTTAATGCCCAGAACTAATAACCCCAGTACTATGTATGGTGTTGTTAAAATTCATAAGTCAGGATACTCTATTAGGCCTATAGTTGATTTTAGAAATTCACCTATTTATGAATTATCTAAATATTTAGCCATGGTATTAAATCCCCTAAAAATCCACTCGAAATCTAGACTAACTAATTCTTATGAACTAAAACACAGATTAGATAATTAAAAATTAGATAATGAAGAAAAAATGATCAGTTTTGACATTGTCAGTTTATATACACGTATACCAATAAATATGGCTATACAAGCAGTCAGAAACGAACTCATTTCTGACCAACAACTCGAACTTAGGACAAAAGTGCCACTTGAAGACATAATGCTAGGATTGCAGCTATGCCTGACTTCCATAGTATTTAAATTCCAAGGGAAAATATACAAACAAACTGAGGGGAGTTGCCATAGGATCACCAATATCCCCCGGTTGTAGCAGATATATTCATGGATAGGTGGGAAAACATAGCGACTGAAACGTTCACCCCCACCCCAAAAGTATGGTGGAGGTATGTAGATGACACATTCACTGTACTTAGAACACAAGATATAGATAGATTTTTCGAATACACCAACTCGAAGGTAGAGGCAATTCAATTCACTTATGAATTGAAAAGTCAGAAAGGGGAGCTTCCAATGTTAGATTGCAACGTAAAGAGGAAAGAAGACGGGAAGTTAAACACTAGTGTTTACAGGAAACCCACACATTCAAACAGATATTTGGACTTCCGATCATCCCATCCTATGTCAGTAAAAATAGGATTAGTGGAATGTTTAAATGACAGAGCACAAAAACTAAGTAGTTCCAAAGAAAATCTAAGACAGGAAGTGATACACATAAAAGAAGCTTTGAAACTTAATAATTATCCGGATAAATTAGTCAGGAAATATGTAAGGAAATCTAGAAATAAAATAAATAATAATAGTAGAGATAGTGACAATAATAATGATAATAATAATATCAATGACGACACCAACAATAAGGAATCTAAATCATCAGTAGTGATTCCATACAAAGAAGAAACCTCAGAAACCACCTTACGCAGAATTCTTAACAACGTAGGAAGAAAAGTGGCTGGCATTCAAACCCACAAACTCAATTAGAAACAAGCTTTGTCGGTTAAATGATCCTGTGGAGCCTTTAAAACAAAACAATTTAGTTTATCTAATACCCTACCTCTAATGATTGTCAGGTCAAATACATAGGTCAAACTAGTAGAACAAGGGCAGTCAGACTAGCCGAACATAAAAACCTAGCTAAATCTAGATTGGTTGACCCAAATAAAATAAGAAATCTAGAGAATAGTTCAGCTATAGCACTACATGCAGTTACACACAACCGTACAATAGGATGGGATAGGATGAGTTTTAAAATCTAATGTCGCAGGGTGGACAGAGAGACTGACGACAGAAGCTTTGTTTATCGAATCAACTGCAAATACATGTAACAGGAATGATTCAACACCTGTCCCAGATATCTGGAAAATTCTACTACCTCTACGACAAATAGAAGACAAAGAAAACTATAAAACTCAAGTCTCAAAGTCGAGTGATTACAATTGATATGATTATGAACAATAAATTTTGTTCGAAACGTCATCCAGTAAATAATACTGTTTCACTGTGTGATACATCTAATAAACAAACTAATATGGAATTACTTACTACCACAGTGCCCAAGTTTTACACATATATTAATTCTTTACACCATAAGGTTACGTGAAAGTAACAGTGCTGTTTTTAAATCATGCACATGATGGGAAATCACTAAACTACATCAATACAATTTATACATTGTGCGCATATATATATATATATATATATATATATATATATATATATAACTGGCCGAAAACCGAAGCTCAGTGTATTCACATTGACGAATACAGTGACCCAAATCATAACTTCTAAGTTATTTTCATTTAGTTCAAAATTTTATGTTTTGTTTTTAAGGAATACAGCTTTAGGTTCACTTATTATCCTCTATATGTACAACAAATTGGAAACATTGCATTACCAAGCCTTTATTATTGGCGAAATTTATCCACTCACTCAATTCGAAACCCCAAAACATCCATTTAGTCTGGCAATTTGAAAATACATTTCATTTCATCGACAAAAGGATTTTGATCGAATGTTTACATTCACTAATCTTTCCACTCTACTGCTAAACTGTAATAAATACATGATGAAATCCTTTTTCCATAAAAACAGAGAGAGACTTTGAATGCTAGCAGATATTTGGATTACATCGCTGAAGTTTCCAATAAAGCCTATCCTTGTAGGAGTGAACATTGAAGTCAACCGAGTGAAAGTTCTGTTGAGCTTGTAAGGCACTATAAGTCCCTTGAGTTATAGAGTTCATTGGATTTAGTTTCTTGAGTCAGAAATCAGAGACATTTTGTAATTTTACCAGTAGCTTATAGTGCGTACCCCATGTGATCCTTTATCCAAAGATTCCGAATCACCATCTACTCAACTGAAATATTTTAAACATGCCAAATCGCCTCCTGCTCAAAAAGCTGATGGGGAATTGAAAATCAGGTCTAAAATTGCTACGGGCGGTTAAACAAACGCACGGAACGAATTCATGACATCTTTGACTGTTAGTATGAGTCATTCAGAGGTGTATGTCATCTGGTTATAGTTTTTTGAATGTTAGGAGTCAATGGCTACATGCTCTTGGTGATGTAGTTTAAAACAGTTTGTGTATTCACTATTTATCATCAGTGTTCGATGGTTAAAGATTTGAACTTATATCACCCGGTTCTGATATCGGAGAGATCTCAACTGAGGTCATCTCAGATTGCACGCAATATACTTTTTTGGTGTAAATAGTTTGCCAAATCGACATCACTAAAAACCTCGTAAATAACAACTAATGTGCATTTTCTTTATTATCTTCAAAATAAATAGTGCTACACAAAATAGAGTGGACTTGTGTTTCAACCAGTGATATACAATAAGTGAGAAAATGGTGAACCTCCTTCCAGAAAGAATAGATTGTAAGCCTTTTTATGGGACTTTAGATAGGGACAAATAACTAATAAGCACGACCACACCTTATGTAGAGGTAAACACATAAAACGAAAGATTAAATTGATAAGATTACCTTCTCGTTCGATTTTAGCCTGACCAATAGGAATTAAATAATCTGGAGACAGCGCTTCATCTGACACATCAAATGAGTGTCCATACAACAACTCGCTCTCCAAATGAACGACTATAATAAAGAAGAAACGTGTTTAATAAATAATAATAATAAGTTACAGCAATTTATCTAAGAACTGAAACGGGCACAATCTTCTTCCCCTTAGGTTGGTATCAAATATGAAAACTTCGTATTCGAACATGTATGACTGACAAAGTTATTAGTATATATTATTTCAGAGTTCAAAACAACTACGTAACTCATCATATAAGACACTGATTGATCATATAAATCACTAGAATTTGTAAAAGTATACTACTCTAGTGAATACAAATCTTAATTGCAACAACAGTAGAGCTGAGTAACAGAATGAAGATGATAATACATTATTGTTATCAGAACTCAACTATTTAATTGTGTCGATACCAAGAAACCACAGTGGTTGAATTATTCAAACTACATCGCCTAAATGGTTTACCTGAGAATAGATGGACGGAAATCCTCTCTTACTAATTAATGGTATAAACTGCTACACTTCACATTGGAATATGAAGTTTGAAGGGGACAAAATGCAATAAATTGAAAAGAAATTGATTGTACTGATTGTGTAAGGACATGAAATAATATAAGAGAATCCAGCAAAATAAATATTTCAAAATTCAGATGAAGGTAAAGATATGCATACATTTGCGCTAGAGCTATTCCTTTTGAGTGATATCACCTGCAGTTTAAAACTATCCACTTCTATCTTATCGTGAATTCTACACAGCTCAAACTTATGATACTCGTAACATGTAATGATTTATTCATCCTTTGTGTCTCACAATATAAGCTCTCTAAATTAATCTTGCCAGTGTCATGACTGATACAAACTGACAAAAGCCAGCCTGACATTTCACACATCCGATGGGATTTTGTTGCTTATCAACCCAAAAGTTCCAATCCAATTTCCCAAGTAAGTAGAGTATTAAATGCGTTCAAACATGCCATCGATGTAGACCCACCAGTGTCCATTTAACTAATAAGCACGTCTCTAAAGTATTATTGAGACTGCTAAAAGACTGCGCATCTCTATTTTATATCATTCCATGCTTAAAGTTAACAGATACCATTTGAAAAAAATTCTTGGTGAAACAGATCTCGGAAATTTTTCAAGAGATTATGGAAGTTTGAGTGTGCTGCTTTCGGTAGGTAAGGATCTTTAGGCTACGATATATCTTTCAGTGTTTCAGGGATGAATAATGCGATCTATTTGAAAAACGAATTACCTCCAGCACTCAAGGTTCACAAAGCCACAGTGCACTACTTTTAGAGCAGCCTTCCGTAATTCCTTCATCACACAGAGGAAAAGTAGCATTGTTATAGATTCTTTAGTAAACATGAATGGCGTTCAGTACGTGCCCGCATATATATATGTAGTATAGCGGCACAGTGCAGTACAACGCTGAGACACAAGTTGTAGAAGATAAAGTTGAAGATTCATAGTTAGATACGATGTAATGCTCACGTTTCGTGTAACAGTGAATTTAGATACTTACTTGTACATAAAAAACATTGGTTGAGAAATACAACTGCTGACCTGTGGAGGTTGGCACATTAAGAGTACGTTATTTCTAACTACTAACTACCTTGATAAAATGCTAGGCATATTAAAATTAGATCAGAAGAAAATCGCATGCAAGTAAATTAACATGTTAGTAATTCCGAAGTCATTGATTGATGGATCTCTTTATGATTGATTTATTCGAGAAATTAGCGATTAGAAAAGCACGCATAGTGGCTTGAAACCAATGACTGTAAGGTAGACGCATTCACTTTGCATCACTTTCAAAATCCTGGGGGTTATTAGTTCATTGATGGTTCTTTTAAGCTCTATATTCTGCCTATTTGTTGAAATATTTTTAAACTAATGTCCTTGATCCTTACTTGTTGTTTCAAAGTGCAATGATTAAGACTACTTACCTTAACCACGGATTTATAACATTTGTCTACCTGCTCATTACTGTATTTAGACGTTTGGATATTTCGACCACTTGTTGGAAACTTTAGGGTTACGACTCACCAGGATCTGGATCACGAACAGCAGTCTTTAGAAGGCCTCGAGCATCTTCACAACTATAAGGCGCAAAACCTTCAGGCCCGGGCAACTAGCATACCAAGCGCCAAAATCTTGGCTGTGCTGAGCAGCGACTCCAGCGGAACAACCATTTGGTCCTCTGAAAACGACTGGGACAGAAACCTAAGAAAAAAGTGAGGAACGACATCACAACCGCAACAGAGGCAAAATGCGTGGATTTTGAATGAAATTATTGACCGAATCAATTAATCCGAGGTTATAAAGACAGAAAGTGAATGACAGCTGCAACCTTGATACAGTGACAGCACTTACCTAGTTATAAGCGTTTTTAAGCATCTCTGCGGTTCGCCGCTCAATTTTTAACTAGCGATCATAGAGACCTGGCTGAATGTCTTGACTACCAAACTTTCAGTCAGTGGATCCAGCGTTCGAATCTTCCTCCATCCAATTCAGCTTCAGCAACTGGTAATATTATCAGCTTCACAAGACAGGTGTGGCTCATAGCCTGTTACATGAATGACCAGTGCCATGTAACCATTCGAACAACACAGTTTCAAATCCTGCTTCATTCAGCGAATTTCGGAAGCCAGAGAATAATGCAACACAGACTAATAGGTGTGACTTAAGGTTTGAGTGTATGAATCTTGTCGACTGTCCAAAATATAAATGACCACAGCAAGATTTAAATTCGACAAGAGCAACTACAAAGCTTGAGATAAAAAAAGGAGTAATTCATAAACATCAGTAACTACTTCATTGATATCTAAGAAGGGAGACATGTCTTCCTGTGATAAGCACAGGGGGATTAGCTTAACTTATATGGTATCTAAAGTTCTAGGTTCAATAATACTGCGTAAACTAAGTAGGCCACGGGAGGAACAAACACAAGAGAACCAGGCAGGCTTTAGATCAGGAAGAGGGTGTATTGATCATATCTTCATCTTGTGGCGATGTATGGTTGTGAAGGCGATGCCGAGAAAATAAATTGCACTGATCAAGGCACTCAACTCGAACTCATGCGGCCGGGTAGGAGCTTACGGCGAGTTGTCATCTGAACTGGTGACAACCAGTGGTGTCTGACAGGGATGCCCACTATCCCCATTTCCATTCAATTTCATCAAAGATGTACCAATGGACTATACCCTAACTCACTTCAGCGACTCATAGATTGACTTGTAACCCGTCAGGGAATAATAGTCTCGTTGACTTAGAATATGCAGATGATATAGTCCTTCAAGTGTTAGGTGGTATGACAGGGTGAGTAGTATTGAGGTTAGGCATCGAGTGCTAGTAAGGAGGGGAAATCAATCGACAAGGCTGTGAAGCTACATCGACTGAGATGGTTAGGGCATGTGTTACGTATGCATTCCTAGCCATCGCCTTCCTCGACGGGCAATGTCAGCTGACATAGGATCAAGTTGGAAAAGAGCGAATGGTGGTCAAACCAAAACACGACCTCATCAGTCAATGAAATCCACAACAGTTAGTTTAAGCCAGTCACGTAAGAAGGTGTAGACTTCCTTGTCGGCTCCTCAGGATGTTAAAAACCAATGGCTGGAGACAATCGGTGATATGGCTCAAAATCGTTCAGTGGCACAGATGTATCCACTTCTTGTGACTTATAATATCCAACAAAACTATGTTGTTCTTCGTTATTACTATTCTTTTTGCCTCATATCTCTGTTTACTGTCTCTATTTTGCATTTCTTCTACTTTCTTCTCTTGTTTTGTGTGCTACATAGAGTGTGGCGACTCGAACTGCTGCACATCGGTGCAAAGTTCTATGTTGAAACCAGTCAGTGACTTCACATCACAGAAAATCCAAGGTAAGAGCGCAGTTTACCAAATGGTTTTTTAGAGTGAATATCAAAAAGAATTAGAATGTCCTCTACTTTTCAAAGCTCAATTGTGTCGTAAATATATTATGGCTATCTTTACAGATTACACATGAGCAGTGTTTAAAAAGAGAAGTCGTCTCTAACTTTAAAGCAATAACTTGAGAATCATTAAAAATTAACCCAAGGATAACTCACTACGTTCAGTGCTTTTCTAACAGTAGCTATTTTACTCCAGTCTGTCTTGAAGGCGAGTGTCGAAATTAGTTATACAACCACATTTTCTTTAATATATAGCTACGTGTTTAGTGTAGGTCAAGAGTAACGCTCATTTTCTCGGTTTTCAAGTCTATAGATATAATCTGCCTTATGAAAAGCATTTCCGTATACATTTAAATTTAGGTAAGCTCTAACTAAGATTCAAACGCAATATATTTAAATATTGTAAACATTGTAAGTATCAAAATTGAAAAATCCTATTGTTATATTTTTCCGCATGAAAAAGCGAACTAATTTAACCGATCACTTCCTTTACTTGATGAATTGCATCAGTACTGGTTGATCCAACTTTTTAAATGATTCACAAGCAAGTTATTACGAAATGATAAGACTTCACAGTACCATATAATAATTTTAACGCCATCATCGGTAAATACGAAATAATCTGGTCAACAACCGATTGATCTGTTAATCTTTTCACATAAATCTACTTGACAAGTAAATGTCAGATCAGATTATTTGAAATGTACTGAGCGAACACATCACATTTTTCAGATAATCTCTGCCTTCTAATGACACTATTCAGATTTATAAAAGGAACTAATTGTTTTAAATATTGTATGCGTCGTACAGAAATTACATCAAGCAAAGCAATCACATAGGGTACTCAAATTTTGTGGAAAACGTTAAGAAAAAATAACCTGCAATTTTGTCAGAAATATACACTATTTAATACATTTTGGAACGTACTACATTTTCATTGTGCGTCGGTGTCACAGAGGTAGAATGCTCGCCAACCACGCAGGTGGTTCGGGGTAAGAGCCTCGACCGACGCACTCCTGTGCCTCGCTAAACCAATAATAAGACTGGTAAAGAAGGAAGGTTGGACATGAGGCTAGCAGCCCCATCTTGTAAAGACAAACACCACTGCTACCGAAACTTCAAGCCGTTCGCTTGAAGCCCTATGTCCCACTGGGAATGTGAAGGAATTAAAAGCTGCATTTTCATTATACAACAATAAAAGCGTATTGCCTAGCCATTTATACAGGATGAAACTGCTACAGCATAGTTTAGACTTGCACAGCTTACAAGATTTGCAAGCAAACATGTACCAGAAACCACCATATTAATTGTAGGATCATAGTTACAGACACATGACCATACTAAGTGGTACGTCTAAACTGACCAAAATTAAAACAGCATTTGCAGCACACATTTTCTGGAAAGTATAATTTGTTAAGCATGTGGAATAAAGTTTAGGCGTCTAAAATAATGGAGTTATTGAAATTTATAAGATTCTGAACCAGAAATTATTTGGTGATTAATAATAGCAAAGCAAAGTTTTGTGATGGGAAAGAGAAACTCACACATTATAAGCTCTATAAATGTGAAGAAATTTTCAGGCATTTTCATTTTGCTAATATATGTAACTAGAAAGCAGGTTACACATGAGAGCTAGTTTATTTGGAGAGAAAGGGGAACTTGGACATAAAATATTTAAACAGAGAATACTGGACATAAAAGCAACTTTTCCGCCGGTTTTCAGGTATTTCATTGTCTCCTAACATTGATAGGACTGAAAAAACTATATGGGTAATCAAAATAATTCATCACCTTACATGTTCATTAACTTTCGGTCTGCTTAGCGTAAGTGTGAGTTACCAGACTAGAGATATTTTGACTACTCGAAATGATATGCATCCAAACTTAGTCCTTATCTGAGTGCCACACCGATTCAGAAATTCACCAATTGAAATTGCCACACCCCCAAAAACCACGCAGAGGGCAGCAGGAAGAGAATGGTGCCACAACAGGCATGAGTGCGACACAGAGAACACGAATGCAAGATGAAAATATGTGGATAAATCCCCATCAATATACACAATTCTGATCCATTTCACAGATCTTAAACAATGACTCAAAGATTTGATTTTCTGTTTATGATAAACATACTTCCACTGCTTTATTATTATCTCTTCAACGTACCAAATGACATGTGGAAAGTGGTACATTATGAAGTGGACTAAATTTTTAACGTAGAACCCCTGAAAAAAAAGGTTGCCACTCTTCATAAAACCACACAGTTACGGAAAGAGTGCAAGGAAACTATAACAGACAGAAGTATTAAGGAGAAATAGTAACTACCTGGAAGTTAATGGACTAGCTAGTTCCCAGAAAGTGAATGCATATACGTCAATGAGGACGATTTTCAGCTGTAACAAACAACCGCCAGACACTGGTTCCCAATCTTGCTACACCCATTCAAGCAGTTTGCACCACCTCATGTGACTCAAACCAACAAAACCTTTCCATGTCCTCATATAACCACTCCTATGTCGGCTAACATTGCACAGTGTTGAAGCCCATAGTTTGGCATTATATGCTGCATTTTGATCAGTGGCTTCCTGATACGGATTAATGAGGTACTTCACAAGCTTCTGCCTAATTTCACCCCCTTTTAATCCGTTCAAGAAGTCTTGGAATATTTACATGAGTCATAAACAGCTTCCATTTTCTAATATTCCGTGCGATATAATGTCGGGACATTATGAATGGCATCAATGTTTTATCATGAAAAATTCAGATATTCAGTAAGTACGGTGAAAGGCTGTACACATACTCAACTTACCAAACCCGCAGACATGTATGCTGACTTTGCAGCAGAGTTGATTATCTGATCTATCGCCTGCATTGCGAAATTAAACGTCATAAACTCGCATATCGGTTTAAGGCCAGCCATAGCTGCCCCAACGGCAATTCCAGCGAAACCCATCTTTATTTTAAGTTATTTACATTGAGATGAAAAACAACATACTTCTGTTATGGGTGTATCCATAACACGACTATCGCCAAATGTTTTCCACAGACCTTTAGTGACCTTATATGTTATATAAAAAGCGGAGGAAAACGAACTTTATAGGCCCCATCGTACTGGGCAACTTCTTCTCCTAAAATAATGACATCCTTGTCGCGTTCCAGTTCTTCACGCATAGCAGAATTGAGAGCGTCCCTAACAGTCATCTTAGTAGCGAAAGCTGCACGTGATGTGCTAAAAAATCGACTGCACACATTGGGCCTACAATTCTAAAAAACCGAATTTGTTAGGTTTCGAACTTTCCAACTCCTCACCTTAATCAGCGAAACGACACACTGGGAAACAGCCATCTAGGTGATCTGCGGAATCTAAGCGCCTGACCTAGAGCAAGTACATATGTTACTATATAGTTGATATACATTAATAAAACATATGTGTGAATGTCAAACTGTTTTGATAGCATTCAACGGTATGCAGAGATGGAAAATTGCAGTTATTTTGATATCATATATAAACTTATGTTTAACGGAATTACAGCGAGCAATACAGAACGCGCGTTATTAATTTCAGTTGTTGAACTACATGTTAACTTTTTTGACTTATTAGTTTCCTTTAGAATTGATGAACTTAAGGTGCTGTAATCACTCTCTGATGTTATGATGGCCGAAACTAACCCTCTGCTATGTTTTTACGAGCTTATATAGACCTCATGAATCCTTAGCTCTCCTTCTTGTTGCCCTGGAAAGGTTTCGGAATTTTGGTGAGTTGCAGTATACCCTCTGTACCTTCGACTAATGAAACTCGGCCGGATCCAACAGAAAGAAATTTCCACTTTCACTTTTGAGAGAATCAACAGTATGTACCCGATCAGTAATGCTTCTGGAACTTGCGATTTTTCTCACGCCACTTAATCCCTCTGTTAGGCCAGCATATACGTAGAGAAAATGGTAGTAACCAAGTCGAAAGAAAAATTAGCGTACGTGAAAACCAATAGCCTGCAATTCAGAGCAAAATCGATTAGTGTAAGGAAAGCAAGGCAATAGGAATACACTGTCAATGTTGTTGAAGATTGAACGATCAATTCATGGTTGTTTGCTCACACCCAACCCCTCCATATTTTTCGCGGTAGCCATCAGTATAGTAGTCATCGTCTCATCGTTCGCTGTTCAGTGGAAAATAAAAAGCTATGAGAAAACTTATACGTAATAACCTTATTGTTGGTTACATGTTGGCGTAAGAATAAAGGATTCTCGAGTCGCCGATCTGTGTCCTGGTTTTTCACGTTGGTTAATACACATTCTTTCTGAAAGTCTTCCAGGGACAGTGTGAGGTCCAGCCTAGTAAGACCTGGGCGTTGACACTGACACTGCCATAAGTATGGGGCTGGACAGGTAAATTATTGCATAGCAGTGGAGTATACAAACGTTAGTATAGTATTTGTGGTACAGTCCTAGAACCAATCTGCATGCCCAACAGATGTGTGGATGCCTATCGTTTCTGTGTGCGCCAACGAATATGTGAAATATGTGGGTGTAATTGCTTCTAGCCATCTGAGCTTGAATCAGACTGCCATAAAGTTTTCGATAACGTATTCTGCATAGCCAGCACTTGTGTCTGATCTATCTGTCGAAGGAAACTTATACCCCACTCGTTCTGCTTGCCATTCGGTGCACAGCCCGTTCGGCGCTCCATGGACCAAATCACTCGAGGTCTTAATTTTGTGTTCGTTGGTATGGACGAACGGAATCAGGCATACGGAGGAAGAGACAGATACTATCAAAACTTCACCCAACCGGACTTATCGAAAAAATTCCAACGGTTTTTGATCATGTTCAATTTCTACCCACCTTCTATTTCTTCACGTGCCTCCATCGCACAACCTCTAACTAATCTCCTTAAAAGTGACCCCAGAAAGTTCCAATAGCAAGCAAATTCACACAAATCATTCAGTAACGCCAGAGATGCTTCGTCCAAATCCGGAATAGAAGGTTGACAGAAATTGAACATGACCAGAAACCTTTGGAATTTTTTCGATAAGTCTGGTTGGGTGAAGTTTTGGCAGTATCTGTCTCTTCCTCCGTAGGCCTGATTCCGTTCGTCCATACCAACGAACACAAAATTAAGACCTCGAGTGATTCGGTCCATGGAGCGCTGAAAGGGCTGTGCACCGGATGGCATTCGTAGGAATTCACACAAGCCAAAGGTGCGATGATGGCTGTCTTCCAAATGCCTTGGTAGCGACTGGTATCTGTTGATAAGCTCTCACCAAATCCACTTTGGAGAAGATAGTCTTACTGTGTAGCGTCAGAGAGAAATGACGCAAGCGGGGCATGGGATAACTATCTGGGACAGTGGTTTTATTCAAGTGTCGGTAACCCCACACGATCGCCAGTCATGCTCAGCCTTGGATATCATGTGTAAAGGTGAGTACCAAAGACTATCGGAGGGGCGGCTGACGCCTAAGTTCCTTATGTGGCCGAATTCAGCGTTGAGTGCCACGAACTTATCGGGTAATAGTCGACGAGGACTTGCTGGGGCAGCATTTATATCTGGAACAGAAACTAGACATTTTCATAGGCGTGAACATTTGTACATGAATTAGATTTGGTGGAGTATATAATATGATTTTTTAATTTAGATGTGAGTTTAACAATGATTTATGTGGGAGAACTATTGAAATAGAAGTGTACAAGTAAAAAGATGTATCTCGAAATCTGCTCTCAACTGAATAAGTTATAAGATATTGCGTAATATCCAAATTTTGTGTAACAAAGTGACCACGCATGTCAGTTTCACGCGGGAATTACGGATGGTTACGTTACTGGTGGGAGGTAAGTAGCATTTTAGCACAAGTGCTGGGATAAAACATAAGAGATACAGAATGAACCATAATTATCAGTGAGCGATTCATAAAGTGTTCGAAAGTCTTTAAAATTTCAAAGTCACCGGTAAGTATACCATGGTTGCAACTTTTCCAGTTGTATATAAGACCAACTTTTAACCTGTCAGGAGATTTATTGACGAAGGTTGTCCCGTTATATGCAGGTGGGGTGTTAATATTTTATGAATAACTGCAAAGTGTAGATTCTAGGGATCCCAATGCTTCATTTTTATTAATACTAACGTAGAGGACAGTATCACTCTATCAGTACCTTCTTTGAAGACACTAACTTTGAAAAAAGGAATAGACACAGGAAAACCGCAAGAAAGATGAAAAAGTATCGAATAAGGGTTGACAATTTAAAGTGTATAACAAACACGGAGTTCATTTTCTATTGCTTTTTAAAATATTATTTCACCAATAGATTTTAGCAATGGAATTCGGCAGTTCTTGGTGACGAATAGTTTAAATGAAAAAAAGTGATAATTTTCCCCAATTATGTGGGGGTGAAAAAGGAGTTGAACACAAAAGTCGAAGTGCGTGAAATTCGCAGAAGGAAAGCGCGGGTTTATTAATATCTGCTCCGTTTTTTAGGCCCACAGTTAGGTGTGTTTCTGAAGTAGTGAACTCATACTAAGTACTTACATTCAGGCAGTTAATATTTAGACTCCTGCTTTCAGGCAATTTTCAACCATTTTTTTAATTTTAGTTCATTTGTTTTGCAGAAGCCATTCAAACCCAGGAGCCTTAGCGGTAGAGTTCTGTCTCACAGATAGGGGTAGTTCTCATACGTCCCCATCATCAGATCCATGAATAGCAATCACCACTCTTCCATCATCTAACATGCAAGGCCCTGGCAAGATGCTTCTGTTTTAACTTCTATTATCAGATACCACATAAAAGTCTTTATATTTATTCATCAAATCATTTAGAGTCATGGTATGAATGGCTACCTTCAGAAGACCATCATATATGTTTCATCTGCTACACCATTTGGGAGAAAAACAATAAAAATGTAAAGAAATAAGACGGTTATAGTCTACCTTTTAAATATAAATAAGTGAAAATACAAAAAGCACTGCATAATGGTGTAGCATTATATAAATAAACAGTAGTAGGTTGCAGCATATGGTTTCGAAAAATTTGACTACACAGGATTATAGTTCTAGAACAGTAAGATAAGATTTCCTAATATTGAAGACTTACCATGTAGTTAAGTTGATTATTTAGGCTATCACTATTTGAGCTGGAATCTGTGTAGAAGCAGACAGTACTTAGGTTCAGCATAAGGGGCAGTCTGTCGACGGCCGTAATTTTGAGTGACCGCGAATGAGATAAACAAGCGATTTGCGCGCTTGTGATTGGCCAGTTTTTCATTCGAGTTGAGGTAATTTTAAACATTTTGTTGCTTGGTTAAGTTCTTAATTTCCAGGAGCGTTTTGTCAAATTGGACAAGTAGCTGACAACACAAACTATTACAGCTCAGGAGAGAAGTGATATACCAGTGGATTTATTTGCTGAGTTCAATGAATTCATGCCATATCAATATGTAAGGACTTCTCAGGAGTGTCAAGAATGCAAACAACGTTCCGAAGATGTAATAACTTCAAGCAACTTCAATTATCACTTGACCGTTATTTTCAGAGATACTTAAATGAGTATAATATACACAGTGGTCCGGTTAATCATGATGAAAACGGCATGGTTGATGCAGCATATACGTATACTTATGTATATGTGGGTAAACCTAGATAAACTGTGTTCTTGTCACGAAGATCGGAAGGCAGGTATCAGATGTCTCAGTAAGCAGTGTAATACATTTAAGCTACATGTTTTTATTTGACATAAACTGGATCTCCACTCACTTTCAGAATTAATCTTGAATTCAGTTGAAATAAGCTAGTTGAGCATATCAGTATTGAGAGAATACAGTGAAAGTAGGTAAACACATGCTTCTTAAGGTTAAGTGATACATTTATTTGATATGATTGTATTATTATTAATTGTCTATGTAAGTTAATGATGAATTCGTTGCGATAATAATACCTATTATTTTTCTTATAGTCACTATGGACATGAATGTTATTGTTATTGCTGTCAAAACCTATTATTTGTCATAAAGTCGTTGTCATTTTTGCTAAAATCTTTGTACAGGCTTTGGAAGCTACTGCATAACTTGTCGTTAAATAATTTTATCATTTCATGATGCTTCGATAGACCCACTAGATATCGACCAATGATAAATTGCGAAGTCCCTTAAGTTTAGTGAAAACTATTGGGCTACTTACATATATATTGTTTTTGAAGCGATTACTTGTAAATGTTATCAGGAAAATTTTTTTTATTCAGATCATACATGTAATACCCAAGTTAATTATGCTTTTCTTAAACCTTTTCAGACTTACGGAAAAACACATGCCGTGTACGCAGATGGAACTTACTGACGGCAACAGAGGACAACTCATCTGA